AGATAGATAGATAGATAGATAGATAGATAGATAGATAGATAGATAGACAGACAGATAGATATAGATCAATTGATAGATCGATAGAGAGATAAATAATAAATAATAGTGAGAACTTAGAAAAGAATGAATTTCCAAAGCATAAGTTCCCAACTAAACCAATAATTTTATATTTTATATCATTGTGATTTCCTTGGTAAAATACAAGAGTGGTTTACCATTGTGTTCTCCTATGTAGTATGAATTGATGCCTTTGCCATTGTCACTAAAGTGATTATGTGCCTCTGGCATCTTCCTATATTGCTGCTGCTTAATGCAGCTGCCTACTTGCTTTAGCTGGGCAGCTGGAATTACTTTTATGCCTTGGGTGACCCTGCTGGGAAAATATACTCTGGGTAACACTCCTGACCTTCTCGCATCCTCCCCCCCAAATGAAGCAGCACAGCAAGATTTGTGTGTATGGGGAGTTGGTATGTTAGAAGAGCTGAAGGTTAGAACCAGATCATCATAGAGAAATTCTGTGTGATCATGACTTAATGGCATATAATCAACTGGAGTCTAGAGGAGAACTTTGGCTATTTTTAATTACAGCCCTACTTAACATATTTTCCCCCTTTTAAAGTTGGATTTTATGATGGCTCGCTTGAAGAAGGTGGAGGAATATGAACAGGAGCTGAACCAACTACGGGTGCAAGATGCTGAGGAGTACAATGTTATAAAGATCAAATTGGAGCATGATGTGCAGGTGTGAACTTTCACCTCTGGTTTCTTCTCAATAGCTCTGCTTTTTTTATTTCCTTTCCACATTCCCAATTTAGTTACCTAGATTGGGAATGTGGTGCTAAAAGTTTTCAGACGAGGGTGCTAAATATTTTAGTCAGTGTGTTTACTTGGAAAGCTCCATCTTGGCACCTTAAGGTATTACAGTAGGCAATGTTGTTGACCTGTGATGAAAACACTAAAGGGGTAGCATTATTGCTGCTCAGCCTGTAGCAAAATCATGAGTGGAATTTATATCACAATCCTGGCTTGCCACTCAGTGTAAAAAAAAAGAAGAAGCCCATAAGCATCTTTTTCTGACTAATAAGTTTTAATAAAAATTTTTACCGAAAAAGTGCTGTTACACTCCTGATTTTTTGCTTCCCTAAACTAGTACAGCTCTGCTATTACAAAGTTGTAACAGTGCATTATTTTCATTTGTGGTACCAGATCCTGGAGCAGCAGCTCCAGCAAATGAAAGCCATCTACCAACTAAATCAAGAGAAGCTGGAATATAATTTCCAAGTGCTGAAGAAGAGAGATGATGAGAACACCATAATCAAATCCCAGCAGAAGCGGAAGCTCAATAGGTGAGAGTAGCAGAACAGCTTCCTTGCTTTGTATTTTTATTGCTTCCTGTTTGTAGGAGAAGGAATAGCAGAGACTGGGGGGGGGGGGGTTGAGTCAAAAGAGTAATCAGCCTAGAGTCTCTATGTTGCCACCAGCAGACTAAGTCCAACTCTCTTGAGTTCTGTTAAACCTTTTAACTAGCACAAAAATAGTACTAATTGTTAGTCGACTAGATTTCTGTGCATAGGCGCGAGCAACAAATCAGTTTAATTATCCATGGAGATTCAGTCATCCAGGGGATGGTTGTCCCAAAGGTGCTTTTTCAAGAGCCAAATGGACTTTCCTGTTTTTCTTTGAAGAACTTTCGCTTCTCATCCAAGAAGCTGCTTCTTGTTGAAGCTGAAGAAGCTTCTTAGATGAGAAGCGAAACATCTTCAAAGAAAAACAAGAAAGTCCAGTTGGCTCTTGAAAAAGCACCTTTGAGACAATCAGTTTAATTGGAACTTAACATCTGGCCCTGATTTTTTGCATCGGACACTTCCGCAGTCACTATTTTTCCTTGTCCTGGAAAGGAAATGCAAATACAGGTAGTCCTCAGCTTGTGACTGTAATGGAGCCTGGAATTACAGTTGTAGTTGTTGTGGTTATTATATGGGTCATCATGTAACAGCACCCAATTTTATGACCTTTTTTGTGGGTTGCCAATGCTGCTGTTGTTGAATTAAGCAGCTGTCATTAAACGAATCTGTTTTAGGGGCATTTCCACCCCCAGAAACAAGAAATATCAGAAACCAGCAAAATATGTTGAAAAATGTGAGACTATGGAGCCCTGCAAACAGCTGTAAATTGCCAAGCACCCAAATGTGAACACATGGCTTCAGGTGTGTGTGTGTGTGTGTGTGTGAAACTGTTGTAACTTTGAAATTTGATCATAAGTATTTTGGGGGGGGCTCTATTGTAGCTTCAAACAGTTGTTAAGTGACCTGTCATTAATCAAGGGCTACCTATATTCTGAACTTTATGCTAGAATGCACCCAAGTACCGATAGTCCTTGACTTACAAGAGTTGATTTAGTGACCATTCAAAGTTGGGTGGAACATTGGAACTGAACATTGACTTATGACCATTTTTATACTTACGACCGTTGTAGCATCCCCACGGTCACATGAATAAAATTTGGATGCTTGGCAATTAATTCATATTTATGATGGTTGCCGTATCCCAGAGTCATGTGTTCCGCTTTTGTGACCTTCTGACAAGCAAAGTCAATGGGAAAGTCATATTCAACTATGTTACTAACTTAAGAACTGCAGCGATTCACTTAACAGCTGTGGTTAGAAAGGTTGTAAAATGGGGGAAAATTCATATAAAGATGGTTTCGTTGAGCAACATAAATTTTGGACACAAGGTCGTAAGGCGAGGATTACCTGAATGCATATCCTCAGAAGCTTTGCAGATTCTCAGAGGGTAATATAAAATTGTAGTGTCTAAAAACCATGATATATGAACAAATGAAATCCATTATTAATAACTCTGCCTAATAACTCTTACTGCCACAATGTGGTGAAATACTTCAAACCTTAAGTTCTAAAGGATTTAAGACCCTTTTTTTGGTCTCTTGACTGCCGTGGGTATAATTTGGTTTGGGCATTGATTCCTGTCCTTCTTTGTAATAGATGTGTCTGTCTCTTTGCTTCTTAGGCTGCATGATGTGCTCAATAACCAGCGCCTCAAATTAGCCAAGCAGGTCAAGCAGTATCGGGAAGAGAACATGACACTGACAGCGGACTATAAGCGGATTGTAGAGCAGTACAAGGACCTGCAGAGAACAATGAGGTGTGGACTACACATTGGAATGAGGGGCAGATGATGGCAATTTGGGACACTTTGTTGCTTGGGCTAGAATTGTGCACTCAGTTATACTCAGAACAGATGAAGAATTGTGTTCTTTACACCAAGAATCCTGTAAATCCATATTGGGGTGTGTGTAAAGGATGAACTTTTCTTTTTGTTTACTTCCGACAAATTACACTATAAAACTAGAAGAACAAGTCACAATTGTGTTGTACATACATACATACACACACATATATATAATAACATATTGAAGCACAAACCACACAAGCTTCTTTTTACACATGACTCTTCCTCATGACTTGTTAACTGCAACACAAAACATTACTAACCATTAAAAGACATAATCTCACAGTGTTGCTTTCATCTCATCACCAGCCCACCATGGAGGCAGTTTAAACTCATACAGGTGATCCTAACTTAACAACCACTTGTTCAATGACTCAATTTATGACAGGTGTTGAATGAGTGGTACTGTCAGGCTGTGCTCCATTCAAAATCCAAGAAAGAAATACTTAGACTCTTTTAATTAGAGAAAAGATATCTTTTACTGGAAATGAAGTGGTAGCTACAGTAGAATTCTGAATCTGAGGAATTAGGCGCGTAAATCACATATACAAAGTAATGGAATTGTTCCCACCCCCAATAGTTCAAATGGTTCTTCCAATTAAAAGTTGTGAATATCATCATGTGGACATCTTCAGGTGGTGATGAAGTTTCTGTCCGTTGACCTTGGCATAGTTTGATAAAGGTTTGCAGCTGTGCAGAGAAAAGAAAGCTAAGCAAGAAATAGAAACCTAAGCAAGAATGCATTCTCCCCCCACTCTTCATTTTATACAATGCTAAGTTTTTCCACCTCCAGCTGGCTTCCCATATTTGTCCCCACTCCTCCCCCCCGTTACTTATGGCAGCCGAAAGAAGCAAAGCAGAAGTAGAAGATCTTGAAGGCTGACAGGTACTTACGACTGGTCTTTGAAAGTTCTGGCTGTCATAGCATCCTTGTGGTTATATGAGAACCATTTGCAACCTTTACTGCTGCCTTCTGGCAAACAAATCCATGGATATTATAATAGTATTTTTCTTCTTTTCCTGACACATTCCTCCACCTCAATGTTTGTAATGATGGAGTCAGAGTGGAATTTGTCCAGTTCCTCTTGGCCACTTTAAAGTATTCCAAGCATTCCTATCTCTGGTCAAACTACACTTTTTTAAAGTTATTTTAGCTAGTATAACAGAAGACATCAGTCACTTAGCTTTCAGAGAACCAACTTTCAAATCATAATGCACACCATCACCCATGGATGGAGGTGGGAGAAGTGCTCTCTTAGTCATGGCTCTGCATTCAAAACTGCAAGGTGCGTGTTTAAAAACTCACGTATGAGAGCTGCTTCCTTTCACTATTTTTCTTGTAGCTCTCTGACCTCTATTCAGAGGTCTTCCTTCACTATCACCTCTGGATCAGTCATTGTAGCATTCTGTCAAGTAAATAGTGGCTGATCCTTCAGGCAGGTAGAGCAATCATCTGTCAAAACTTGCCTCTTCCTGTTGGGAAATTATTTTAAATAATAATATTAAAAAAAAGAATAATTGAATAATTGTTCTTTTTTTGCTGGCATGTGATGCCAGGAAAACCAACTGTTGTTTTCTTTAAGTTGCTGTACATTAGGCAAGTGAAGGCAGCTGTTGCTCTTCTTCCTGAGGTACAGTAAAGCTTAGCAATGAGAGCAGTTCAGGTATATTGGCTTCAATCAGCTTGCTGTATGAATCCTGCCATTTGCTCAGCATATTGTCTGAACCACTCCATCATATTAAATCTAATAGGTGGTTTATTTGGATATGGCATGTTAGGATGCTTTGTTAACCTGGGTGTAGAGTTTGGCATGATATACTGTATGATCTGAGCAATTTAGCTGCATATATTAGGATTTGCACTATCAAATCTGACACAGCATAGAACAATAAAAAGAAGCAATGCAAGATTGGAAGACGTAAAGAGAATTGGACATGACTGAATGGATGACATCATCATCCTCATCATCAGGATCTGAATCTTGGGACTTCTACATCACTATTGATCTGTAGCTAACCATTGAATGTTGGTACTTCTGAGTATAGATACTTCTGAGTATAGATACTTCTGAGTATAGATTCAAGTTTTTGAGTCATGCATCTCTTTTGTTATCTCAGACATTTTGCCATTGTGGATGCTGAACATTTCCTGGATGTGTGGCTGATGAATGAAGAAGAGGCCAAGGCGCTGATTCGCAAAGCCTTTGATGCTGACCGTGTCATCCATACTCAGCAGTTGGGGTTACCCTGGACTGAACCTGATGGCTGGTTCCTGCACAATGTGGGACCTATCATGCATATGAAGCAGTTGAAATCAGCCAATGAGCTGGCCCGTGAGGTGATCACACCTGATAGTAAGCAAGTTCTGAAACTTTTGTGGAATTCCGCATAAAGGCAGCATGATTGATGCAATTTGAGACAAGTTGCACCACATTGCTAATGCCTGTATAAATCATTCTGTTTCCTGTTATAAAAATGGGATTTATTTAGTAAGTAAGTTGAGCCATGAACGTCAGGAAGGGGAGACAAAAATGAGGGCAATTGCATAGTTTCCTCAGAAATGAAGGATGAGAGGTTTTTTTTCTCTCAGAATTGGCAAATTCTGCTATTGCAATACTACAAATTTTACTCCCGTGAAGGCTAATTTTCTGACATGTGCATAACGCATAGTATGCAGTCATACCTGGACATTCCAGTTTTACATATTGTACTTTGACTAACACAGATGGACACCTTTTTATAGTTGCTTAAGCCAAATATTAATTGTACTTTTCCCCAGGATCATATGGCAGCTTTTAAGAGCAGCTACTTGATCATAGAAAAAAGTACAACTGCTTTAAAGGGTTTCAGAAAAGTGCCATGCTCATGCCGATACATGCTCTGAAGCACTTTTTCACCTTCAGTTCAGAAAGCTAGATAACTCTATTAACTTCTCTATAATTTCTGCAATCTGGCTGTATAAAAAATTGCAAGATGATGGCAACTTGGAAAGGAATTTATGGAATCCAGTATTTTGGGGGCCGCGTGCAATTTTGGGATTCAGTTTTTACAGTCCTTTTATAAATAGAGAAGTTATTAAGCCCATACTTCTGATCATGTAACATCTCCCCTCCTCAAACATCCTGTTTTGTCAAATAGTACCTACAAATTGATGAATATTTGTGACATTTCTAAAGGCGAAATGCTGTTTTTAATGCTAATTAAGACATGAGGGATGCTGTATGTTGATTTGTTAAAATGGCATGTGTTAGACTTCTGATTTTTCTTTTTTTAAAAATTAATGAATAAAGAACAGCTGATATAATTGCTTTATGTGTTTAAGAAAGTTCTCTGTTATGCTGCTGCCTCAGATTCTGTTTTTTTTCTCTAGCAAGTCAATCACTTCAGCAGCAATTTTCCCCATCAGGGGGCAGATCACCAGAAGAGAATGAAGCAGTCCTAGAAGAGGAGTATAAAGAGGGTGTGGAATCTGAACCAGAATCAAAGAAACTTTGGTCTATTTCAAGAAAGACCATCAAGCATGTTCTGGAGCTCCTATGTGATGAGTCGGTGAGCTGGGAAAATGAGGAAACGTGGGGTTCATCACTGGCTGCAGATGTCTGCTTCTGAGGCTGGGGCCTTGCTATGTCACAATATCCTCTTAAAGCCATGTCCCAAGTTCAGCTCTAGGAATTAGTCAGACCAACAATTGATGTTTCCCTTCTTGTGTTCTGTATCTGCTTCCTTTGCCAGGGCTTTTTGATTGAGAGCAAGCTTCGGAGTCTCCTGCAACCTCTAGAGAGGCCTGATCGCATTCTCATGAAGCTGGACTCCATCTTCACCGTAAGTTCCTGAATTCTCTTGCAGAAGTGATTGGGAAAACATGTACTTGGTCCTTTGGGATTGGGGCCTATACGTGCTACCTTGGTAACTGATTTTCTCCCAGCAGTTATTCCTATTTACCCCAAGGTGGACATTTGTACAATCTATTTATTTCTTTGTTTGTTTGTTTGATTTGCCAATCGCTGACAAGATACAGGTATAAGAATAAGAACATAGTTTTGAATACATGAGATGGATACTTATAAGAAAAATAAAAAGAAACAATAGGACAGGGACGGTAGGCACTTTGGTGCGCTTATGCACACCCCCTACAGGCCTCTTAGGAAGGGGGTGAGGTCAATAGTAGACAGACTAAGGTTAAAGTTTTTGGGGTTTGGGGAAGAAACCACAGAGTCAGGTAGAGTATTCCAGACATTGACCACTCTTGCTGAAGTTGTATTTTCTGCAATCAAGTTTGGTGCAGTTAACTTTGAGTTTGTATCTATTGTGCGCTCTTGTATTGTTATGGTTGAAGCTGAAGTATTCCTTTGCAGGTAGGACATTGCAATGTATGATTTTATATACTATATTTAGATCGGACCGAAGGCAGCGTAGTTCTAGGTTTTCTAGGTCTAGAGTTTCAAGTCTGGTGGCATAAGGTATTCTGCAACGAGTAGAGGAGCGGAGAACTCTTCTTGTGAAATATTTCTGGACTTTCTCAACTGTGTTAATATCAGATATGTAATGTGGGTTCCAGACTGATGAGCTGTATTCGAGTATTGGTCTAGCAAATGTTTTGTATCCTCTAGTTAGTAGTGTTATATATTACCAGAGAAGAAGCGCAGGATTAGATTAACAACTCTCAATGCCTTTTTGGCTATGTAGTTACAGTGGGCTCTAGGACTTAGATCTGCCAGGATTATAAATGTCTAAGCCTTTGTTTTTAAGTTCTAACTGGACTCCTTACACCACCTCCTAGCTGACCTGTCAGCACCCATTTAGGTTTTTATACTTTCCTATAGGCCCTGTCCATTGACAGTGAAGACGATGTGTATCGAATGGTGGAGTTTTTCATGAATTTCAAGGCTCAGAAGATGGCTGGTTCACAGGTAATAGAGATGGGGGCTTCAACTAATGAACACAATGACTTTCAATTTGATGCACCTTGAGGTTTATCTGTACAGTGATCCAATCATCAAAACTTGCTTCATCACACTAGTCTTAGCTCTGTTCTAGCTTAATGGTCTACTCCCACCTCCCATGGACTTTCTCTATGCGATGTCATCGAAGTTGAAAGTCCCCCATCTCTGCCTTCTGGAGGCTGAGAAACATGAAGTGGCGAAAATAATCATTCCGTCTTAGGATTGTTTTAGTTGCAGTCATGTATTTTAACCAATACCAGCAAATGTTGGATTATGGTTGCTTTTCAGAAATGTTGACCTTTTCATTCATGTCTTATTTCTCTTCGTTTTTCTTTAATACTCTCACTTACATATACATCTCAGCTCTCTTGAGACTGTTGAATATTCTGTGTATTTCGTTGGGACATACGGTATGGTTCTCCCAGAATGCTTCATTTTCCTTTAGGACTTGGAAACCGTAGTGGCAGATACAGTTGTCAAAGTGCTATCCGGAGATGCAGAGATTCTAGGAGAGGAGGACAAGGAGTTTTCTGCAGAACCCCAAGAAGAGGACAAAAGCTCCACAGTTACAACAGTGCCCCTTTCTACAATTTATATGCATCCTGATGACATTTTGAAGGCTCTCAAGGCATTTGTGCAGGAATTCCAGACACCAAGGTAGGTCTGGATTGAAAAAAATGAGGCCTGGTAGGGGTGTTGGATTTGCCCAAAAGGTAACAAATGGATTAAAACCAAAGGTTGACTTGGTAGTCGTGCATATGAAGCTCACAAACAGCCAGGAATAGGTGCAAGTTCAAATAGAATAGAATGGAATGGAATGGAATGGAATGGAATGGAATAGAATGGAATAGAAGAATAGAATAGAATAGAATAGAATAGAATAGAATAGAATAGAATAGAATAGAATAGAATAGAATAGAATAGAATAGAATAGAATAGAATAGAATAGAATAGAACAGAATAGAAAAGTTGGAAGGGACCTTGCATGTCTTCTAGTCCAACCCTCTGTTCAGGCAAGAAACCCTATACCATTTCTCTTCTTAAAAACTTCCAGTATTGGAGTATTCACAACATCTGGAGGCAAATTGTTCCACTGATTAATTGTTCCAACTGTCAGGAAATTTCTCCTTAGTTCCAAGTTGCCTCTCTCCTTGATTAGATTCCATCCATTGTTTCTTGTCCTGCCCTCAGGTGCTTTGGAGAATAACTTGACTCCCTCTTCTTGGTGGCAGCCCCTGAGATACTGAAGCACTGCTATTCATGTCAACCCTAGTCCTTCTTTCATCAAACTAGACATACCCAATTCCAGCAATTGTTCTTTATATGTTTTAGCCTCCAGTCCCCTGAGTAGGGGAGGGATCCGATGGATTAACTACTAGTTCGGTGATTTACAATTTGCTTCCCTGCATTTATTTATTTATTTATTTATTTATTTATTTATTTATTTATTTGATTTGCCAATTGTTTACAAGATAATAAGTATAAGTGTATACATAGTTGTGAATACATGAAATGGGTACATATAAGAAAAATAAAAGAAGAATAAGAGAAACAATAGGACAGGGACGGTAGGCACGTTGGTGCGCTTATGCACGCCCCCTACAGACCTCTTAGGAAAGGGGTGAGGTCAATAGTAGACAGTCTAAGGTTAAAGTTTTTGGGGTTTGGGGAAGAAACTACAGAGTCGGGTAGAGTATTCCAGACATTGACCACTCTATTGCTGAAGTCGTATTTCCTGCAATCAAGTTTGGTGTGGTTAACTTTGAGTTTGTATCTATTGTGTGCTCTTGTGTTGTTATGGTTGAAGCTGAAGTATTCATTGACAGGTAGGACATTGCAATGTATGATTTTATATACCATGCTTAAATCAGACCGAAGACGGCGTAATTCAAGGTTTTCTAGTTCTAGAATTTCAAGTCTGGTGGCATAAGGTATTCTACAACGAGTAGAGGAGTGGAGAACTCTTCTTGTGAAATATTTCTGGACTTTCTCAATTGTGCTAATATCAGATATGTAATGTGGGTTCCAGACTGATGAACTGTATTCGAGTATTGGTCTAGCAAATGTTTTGTATGCTCTGGTTAGTAGTGTGATATTACCAGAGAAAAAGCTACGTAGGATTAGGTTAACAACTCTTAATGCCTTTTTGGCTATGTAGTTACAGTGGGCTCTAGCACTTAGATCATTAGAGGTGAGTATTCCAAGGTCCTTTACAGAGTTTGGATCATCAACAAGGTCTTGACTATTCAGCCTGTATTTTATTTTCTGATTTTTTTTGCCAATATGTAAGACAGAGCATTTATTTGTTGAGATTTGAAGTTGCCATTTGTTTGACCATTCTGATACATAGTCAAGATCTTTTTGTAGGGTAGCAGTATTGTCTGTGGTATTGAACAGCTTTACATCATCAGCAAAAAGAACGCAATTGCTCTTAATATGATCACAGAGGTCATTTATGTAGAGTATGAAGAGAGTTGGTCCTAGGACACTGCCTTGGGGGACACCACTATTGACAGGTACAGAATTTGATAGGACGCTCCCAATTTTGACCATTTGTTGTCTGTTTGCCAGGAATGCTTCTATCCAGTTATTCAGTTGTCCAGAGATACCATAGGATTTTATTTTTAGGAGTAGTTTGTCGTGTACCACTGAATCAAAGGCTTTACAGAAGTCTATGTAGATTGCGTCTATTGCTTTGCCCTGGTCGAGTTGTGTCGTCCATATGTTTTTGCAGTGTAAGAGTTGCAGATTACAGGATAGTTTTTTTCTGAAACCAAATTGTTTATTGGAGAGTAGGTTGTTTGTCTCTAAGTGGAGGATGATGGATTGGTTAATAATTGATTCCATGACTTTACAGGTGACGCAGCATAAGGAGATTGGTCTGTAATTTTCAACTAGGCTTGGGTCTCCCTTTTTGAAGATGGGGATGACTGTGGCTTGTGACCATAGGTTAGGCAAGGAGCTGGTCCTGAAAGATTTTTCAAAGATTATGCTTAGAGGTTTGGCTATGGCAGTGGATAGCTTTTTTAAGAAGTAGGCACATATTCCATCCGGTCCAATAGATAGAGATGGTTTTAGATTGCGTAGTGCTTTTTCAACATTGTCTTCTGTAAAATCGATATGTATTGTTGTTATCTGTGGTACGGCTAGGAAATACTGGGCATGATCCGTTGCTGTTTACAAATACTGAGCCGAAGAATGTGTTAAAGAGGTTGGCTTTAATGGTGTCGTCGTTGCAGTCTTTACCATCAGGTCCTATCAAGGGTGGGATGGACCTTGAGTCTTTTAGTTTGTTGTTTACAAAATTGTAAAAAGCACGGGTGGAATTGGTGCTTAGAAGGTTTTCCTCTTGTTTAATGTGATAATTGGTGCATTCGGTCTTTATCTGGTGGCATAAATTTTTGTATCGGCTTTTGAAATTGGCAACGTGACCAGATTTGTTTTTCCGCCAGAGTGATCTCTTTTTGGATTGAAGTTTCCTTATTGTTATGGGTAATCTGCTTTTTTGTTTTGTTTTGGGAGTTGTTGTTGGTACTTATAGTTTGATGACTCTTTTGACTTCAAGTAAATTGTTCTTTATATGTTTTAGCCTCCAGTCCCCTGAGTAGGGGTGGGATCCGATGGATTAACTACTGGTTCAGTGATTTACAATTTGCTTCCCTGCATGCTGCGCGTGTGTGTAAATCTTTGTCAGCTTGCAGCCTGGACTGAGCAGCGCTGCGTGCAGGGAAGCAGCATTTGAAAAAGCACTTTTTTTCCTGCTTTTTCAACCGCAGCTGTGCCTCGCAAGGCAGCTGAGGTTGAAAAACTAGGAAATAAAGGACGGGTAAGAGCCTGGGCAGGCTGGCGGGCGGGCCAAACAGCAGCAGACATAGAACCGGTTCTATGTCTGCTGCAATTCAGAGCTACTGGTTCTACAGAGCCGGACAGAACCAGTAGAATCCCACCCCTGCCCCTGATCATCTGTGTTGCTCTTCTCTGCACTCTTTTAAGAGTCTCAACGTCTTTTTTACATCGTGGCAACCAAAACTGGATGCAGTATTCCACCTGTGGGCTTACCAAGGCATTATAAAGTGGTATTAATGCTTCACGTGATCTTAATTCTATCCCTCTGTTTATGCAGCCTAGGACTGTGTTGGCTTTTTTGGCAGCTGCAGCACACTGCTGGCTCATATTTAAATGATTGTCCAAATAAGTAGTGCCACTGAGAGAAAGGTTATACTATAGGGCAGGGGTGGGCAAACTACGGCCCGTGGGCCACATCCGGCCCGTTGGTCTTTTTAATCCGGCCCGCCGAAGATTGGTACAGAATTAAGGTTTGATGTGAATGATTGAATGATTGCATTCATTTGATTTTGACTTATAATGACAGGCATTTTGACACCAGGTGGCGGCCCGTCTGTCAAATTTTAAAAGTCAGTGAGGCCCCCGGGGCCAAAAAGTTTGCCCACCCCTGCTATAGGGCCTTTCCCCTGTTAAGTGTAAAATGAACTGAAGTACTGTCCAGCCATTTTGAGTTGACCCAAAATTGCCTGTACCAAATTACTGTTGTAACTGTATGTCCTTTTTCCTGATCCTTCTGCATATGTTCCAAAGTGTTAATTAAGTGATGCTGCCCTAGCCATGATCTTATTCTTTAGCACATCACCGACTGCAGACTGTCCATCATCTTTAGGCTCCTTCCAGTGTCCCTCCTCTGATACTCCATTCTGTCATTCTGAGTTGGATTGAAAAACAAACACTTCCAAGGCCCAAAGGAAGCTCAGTCATAAGCAGCATTTTTACTTAGGTTTTTCTCTCCCTACTTTTGCTTTCTTTATGTAGTCAATAACGCTTATTTCTGTTAAGTGCCATAGATTGCAATTATTGTATTGCCAGCTGAACAGTCTAGGGCTGTTGCATAAAAGACCACCAGCAGATCATTGTTGTGCCTAGCTTTTTAAGGGACAACAGCAAAATGACAACAGATAAGGCTGGAGGGGAAGGGGCTTACTCTGATCTACCTAAAGTGGCATACATATTTCTTTAATTTCACCTAGTGGCCTCTTGATTCACCTGTCATGTAATAAGATGATGAAACATTACACATTTTACTTATTTTGTGATTATAGTGGAGACTTAGCAGAAAAATATTGCCAGGGCATTTTTGACTAAGTTAGAATAACTTTATTGTCACTTTGAATGTATACTAATCAGACACATTAACATGAAATTTCATTGCATACAGCTCTCAAAGGGTCACCACCTCTAATATACACTACATAAACATGACTAAATACATACATATATACATATATACATACATACATAATTATGCATATACCCACATATATTATATGACACAGAGAAACAACACAGTCTAAGTGTAGAAGCAGAAAGGTTTTCATGGTGAAGTACAAATTTTTCACACATAAAATCTCAAGTTCAGTCTCTGGCATCGCCAGTTTGGGACTGTGGAGAGCTATTGATGCTCAGTACAAATGGTACTGCCTCAAATGGATTGAAATATGGTTTTGAAAATAGAGAAAGAAAATCCCGTCTATCCTATTCTATGTTTTTTCCCAGATGCACAAATGATTCAACATTTTTCATGATTCAACAGATAAAAAACAAACAAACCCAAAGCTGATCAATTAACCGGATTGGAATATGTTACAGTAACTCTATTGTTGACTGGTGAACATTTCTTTTGAAAGCTAATGAAGATTTTATTGTCTTAAATATCTTTAGTAATGTTTAGTAATTTCCTAGTGTTTTGTTTTATATTTTTGTTTTTGTGTTGTCATAAGCTGGAATTATATAAAAATTAGGGAAGGTTGGGAGCAAGTGGGGGCGGGGGTGGTAAACTATTAAATGCCCCATGCATTTAATCGTCTCGATTGGAGGGGATTCCATCATTGCTATATTTGATGACATTTTTATCAAGATTTGAATACTGACAAGTCACCAAATGCACAGTGTGTCAAAATAACAGCGCATTATGAGATCTCCATTCTACCATTGTGACTCAGCCCCTCATCCTGCAAATGTTTGAGTTGGTGAGAATAGCATAGAATAATTAAGTTGAAGCCTTCTCTTAGGTTGTGATGTGAGATTAAGGGCTAATGCAGTAGGAAGTTGCTTATGTCAGATCAAATGATCAGCCAGTGGCTCTTTCCTCCACTTCTAGGGACCAGTGGCCACAGATAAAGAAAGCACATGAAGAACGGGACAACTCTAAAGATTCAGAATATTGGGATGCATTGGCTCATGTTATCCCAGATGGAAAACTGAAGCTGTGGGATGCTCTCATTGTTGCCTTGCAAAAATACTAGTAAGTGATGGAATTTGCACATCCATGCCCTTAGCAATAGTAGGGCAACGTCTGCAGATACAAGGAGTGGACTAGACACATTGAGCTAAATAATCTGTACCAAAGTGTGCTAATGTGTTACTTATCCTAGAGACTTGTGTTATGAGTAGTTTCTTGAGATGAGATAGCAGAAAACGTATTTCTTCAGTTTCAATGAACTTTAATCATCCCAGTTCAATGCCAGTCTTACCACCGGCTTTTTAATGCAAATTTATAGAAAGATGAACAGAAAATACTGACTTTCTCCTCTTTACTTGTTTAGTTTATTAGGAAGTGGATCTTCTTTTGCCCAGTTTTAATGGGTTCATCTCCCTATGACAGGGAAAAGCTGTATGTTTTTATTGAGAATGCATAACTCTCCCCATCCTGCATACCTCACCTCTGGGCTATTGAGTTTGACTGATAACGTTCCAATAATATTGGAGTAAGGGGGCAAAATAAAAACCCAATGTATGAGGAGGGTTGGGAGAACATGACTCAAGGCACCCTTGAGTTTCTCACCCTTCCCATCTTTCCCAAAGAGAAAAAAATTGGCTTTTTTTTTTTTAAAAAAAGATATATAGGAACCTTATCCTTCCTTAATACCTGAGGCACCCATTTTGCCACAGTACTTCACTAACAATGTTTGGTCATATCTACTCTGAGGAGCTCTGGAGATTATTTGTGGGCAGAGGAAGGGGTGTAGGAGATCCATGCAGTTCACAGGTTGCCCATTCCAAAGTCTGCAGTTAACAACAGTGTTATCCCTACTGTTTTGAAGGACTCCTCTCTTTTTTCCACCTGTCTAGTCATTTTCTGACTCTGAGGGCAAAGCTGATTGAGGAAACTGATGGGCTGACTCAGCAGAATGAAGAACTTCAGATACTGTTACAGCAATATTTACAATCCCCAGTAAGTAAATGGGTAGAAACTTAGAATCATACAATTGTGGAGGTGTAAGGGGATGATATATTTCAATCCTCTGCAAGATGCAGGAAAACTAATTTAATCCTGTGTCTGAGCAGTCCATCTGGTCTCTATGTGGAATTTTGCAGAAATGGTAGAACCTGCAGCCTTCATAGTTAGACTGCCCCATTTTTATATACATCACTTTTAACAACTTGTCAGTCAGAATAGCAATAGCAATAGCACTTAGACTTATATACTGCTTTACAGTGCTTTACAGCCCCCTCTAAGCAGTTTACAGAGTCAGCATATTGCCCCCAACAATATGGGACCTCATTTTACCCACCTCAGAAGGCTGGAAGGCTGAGTCAACCTTGAGCCTGGTGAGATTCGAACTGCCAAATTGCAGAAAGCCGGCAGTCAGCATAAGTAGCCTGCAGTACTGCAGTACTGCATTCTGACTGCTGCGCCACCGCAGCTCATAATGCTAGAATGCTATATGGAATCTTATCAAAAGCTTTGTTGAAATGCAGGTGAATTAAATCCCCTTCTCCACTGGTATATTGTTGAAGGAGAAAAGATTTCTCTGAATACTTATTTATGATAAACCCCTGTAGGCTCTTGGCAACCACTGCATTGTTTTCAAGGTGCTTACATAAGGCCTTTTTTGTTATACGCCAGGCCAGTTATGTACCTGTAACTATGCCAGAAAATCCCTATAGGACCTATCCAGCATCTTGTTTGCAAAAACTTTCTCACACTGAATTTAAGTTATACTGATCTATGCTTATTTGGTAATGTTTGTCATTTTCCCTGCCATAAAACTTTCTGCAGGATAATTTTCAGACAAAGCATTTTTAAAAACGCAGTGGTATTTTGAAAATATACAAGCTACATCAGCAGCAAAACCTTGACAGCATTTTCTAAAATTTCTGAAAATGCTTAGGAATAAATCAAATTCAAATCAGTATAAAATCTTCCATCAAAATAAAATTTGTAGAAAAGGATGGAAGGCTTCTGTCCTAGTTTTGTCGTAGTTTATATGGTTGCAAGTCAGCTTAGACATCAGCAGTTCTTCACGTTTTATTTTCTTGGATTCAGTGATGTTAACTTTACTTGCTTAGCATATTAAGTCAGTTATAATACACAGTATGTTGTCATCTTACTATCTCCTTCCTATTATGCACTGCTTTTTAATCCAAGTATTACATTGTCTATGTTGTCCAGACCCTAAATTGTAGCTGATATGAGAGGCATTGGGGAGGCTGAGAGAGTTAATACATATAAGCTTCTGTAAGATAGGAGTCTATTAGTAGTTTTCCTCATGAACTAGTCCAGATTGTGAAAACCAGGATGGAATGTTTTGATACTCTGCCTTAAGGAATTCACTAATGAATGAGGATTTTAATTTTCTTTTGCAGTTTGCAAGAGTTTATATTTGCTCATTATCCTTAAAGATACTTTACTGACATCTTCAATTCTTGCTTCCATTATGTTGCCCAGCTGTTAGTGGATTTGACAGCTATATGGTGATAAGTGTGAAAACTAGTAAGCATAAAACTCTCGAGTGAAGAATCAATGTAATGTGGATTAAGATAGAAGTGAATTTGTGTTTCTTCACCAGACCGTTTTATTAGTGTCTCATGGTATTTACACCCATTGTTATAATTGAGTATATAGCAAGGCGGTAAAATTGGAGCAACTGTTAGACACAAAGCAATACCAAAGTCTTAGGCTGGGAGCCCATCCCATTTCTCCTACCTCAATATTAGCAAGATTGTGGTACCAGTCAGTGGTGCCAACTGGAAGAAGATCAGGCAACCAGTGATTTCTTCATGAAGTTATTTGGTCAGTATAATGAATTTGCTGCCACGCAATATCAAGACTATTGGCTAAAGTAGTTTTCTATCTCATGGCCATTATCTTTCTTGTGGTATTCCCACAGACAGCTAGCAGAAAAGAAAATACTGAACTACTGTGTTTCTCACAAAATAAGGCCGGGCCTTATTTTTTTCTGAGCCCCGAAAAAATGGCTAGGAGGTCTTTTCAGGGGTGAATTAATTTCTCCCCCCCTCCTCGTGCACCAGCGCCGTCTCCAACAACAGCATCTGAGTCGCTCCCGCTTTTTCCCCCGTCCCCGTACCAACAGGAAAAAAAAACATTTTGAGGTACCTGGGAGCACCACGTGCTGCGTTTTGGTTTAATCCCGAGCGGCTGGGTGGGCATGAGAAGAGCCGAGCGAGCGTCTCTGCTGCTGCTATGCTTGGTGCTCCAGCCTTGGGCTCTGCAAGTTTGCAAAAGTCCTGGTGCGCAGCCTGTTTCCTGCATTCCAAGCACTCAGCCGAGTTGCAGCTATCCCTCTCTTGCCAGCACCGTCTCCAATAACACCGGCAGCAGTGGCGGGAACCGTGGAAGTTACGGAGGCAGCTCCCCCACCTGAGAAGCGGCTGAAACACTTCCACGGTTCCCGCCGCTGCTGCCACTGTTATTGGAGATGGCGCTGGCAAGAGAGGGACAGCTGCAGCTCAGCCTGGGCGCTTGGAATGCAGGAACAGGCTGCACACTGGGACTTTTGCAAACTTGCAGAGCTCGAGGCTGGAGCACCAAGCGTAGCAGCAGCAGCAGAGACGCTCACTCGGCTCTTATGCCCACCCAGCCGCTCGGGATTAAACCAAAACGCAGCTCACGGTGCTCCCAGGTACCTCAAAATGTTTTTTTTTTCCTGATGTTATGGGGACGGGAAAAGCAGGAGCGACTCAGACGCTGTTGTTGGAGACAGCGCTGGCGAGAGAGGCGCCAGCACCGGTGGGAACCGTGGAAGCTACGGAGGCCTGAGAAGCGGCTGAAATGCTGCTGGACATCCACGCCGATGCTGCCTGCCTGCTGACCCAGGTAAGGGAGCCCTGTGTGCTCCCCCATGGTGTTAGGAGCGGCTGATGGTGAGGCGTAGCTGCCCGCTGGGCACTCCTAATGGCAAGTCCCCCCCCCCGCCTCCCCCCCCAATTTTGCATGTTTTAAACTAGGCCTAAATTTGGGGGGAGGGGCTTAATTTCATTTTATGCCTAGAAAACATGCTGGGTCTTCCTATTGGGGGGAGCGTATTGTTGGAGAAACACGGTAAGTCTATTTTTGGCTTATTTCATACAGACTCTTACAATTTTATAGGCTTTAGTTTAAAAAAAAGAGAAAAGAGAGAGGCAGCCATAGACTCTAGAATCATTCTGAACAGAATTTATTTAATCTAATCTGTAGATTTTGGGAACAAGAGCTAATTCTTAATAAAACCTATGTACCTTGAGCTGGAGCCTTAATCTCTTTGCTTCTGTTTGTTGCAGGCAAATGCTGCGTTGCTTATTCCACCTACCCACCTACTACATCTACAGATGAATAACCCATGAAAATCTTCCGTGCAAGAGGTGTGGGTTGGTTATTTCCCCAGTATTCTCATTACTTCCCTGGATCATTACAACTAGACAGATAAACCCACTTAAGTCCCCAAGAGGCAAAAGTGGGCATAAACAATTTCAGCATGTAAGCCCCTCAGTTGTTTTGAGGTGCTTCTTTGAAAACACATAGGTTAGTTATCCTTGAGTTAAATTGAGAACACACAGCTGTTTTCTAGAATGATGGCAGCACTGATGTACATAGAGAATAACTAAAACTAAGTTAAAACTAAAACTAAGGCACATTAAATCTGCTTTGCAAATATTCTGATACACATTCAAAGCACAGCTCAATCTGATTTGATGAAGCCCACACTGACATATTTCAGAAAAGAGGAAAACTTTACCCTTTATAAAAATTTAAGACTATATAAACAAGATGTCTTGTTGACTCTAAACAAGTATTTTCTTTTGGGGCAGGGGGAACATTTCAAAAGAATTAAAAGTCAAATGACAAATAAACATTTAAACACTATTCTGGCTCATCCTTGTTACCTAAGGAGACATGTGACAATGCTTGGGTGGATTGTCTGTAATTGTAGGGTAGCATGAGCCCCTGAAGATTGCAGCTTTTATCATTCTGAAATATTTGAAATATAATCCCAAAGAACCACTGAATATGGACTTGAATAGCAGCTTTGACGGAATGGGGTACTTTTAAGAAATTTGAAACACAGCAGACGGTGACCATCAGAAATGACAACACGACAAACGCCAGGAAAGTATATGTCCAGATCACCATAGAAGGCCAGCCGTGCTGGATGGAAGTGGACTCAGGCTCATACTTATCAATGGTATCGTGGGGTACCATAAAAAGACTGATACCAGACATAAGCTGGGAAGGACTCGAAAGACAAACACTAATGCTGAAAGACTACCAGGGGAACAAAATTCCCATAGTAGGTACCGCTCAATTCAAAGTAACATTCAAAAAATACACCAGAGTCCTTCCACTAGCCATAGTCAACCGGAATCGACCTAGCCTATTGGGACTCGAATGGTTTGCACCATTAGGAATCAAAGTCACAGGGCTAAACAGCATCACCAAGACAGAGTGGGAAGACGACCTGATGGAAGAATTCCGGGACATGTTCGACAGAGAACTGGGTAAGTACTGGGGGTCCCCAATTTCCTTTAGTCTAAACCCAAACATAGCCCCTATAAGATTAAAGGCGAGTCGTCTTCCTTTCGCACTAAAACCAAAAATCGATGAGCAATTGGATAAACTCATCGCACAAGGGGTTTTAGAACCAATTGACCACGCAAAGTGGGAAACCCCAATTGTTACACCAATTAAACCTGATGGGTCAGTGCGCATCTGCAGGGATTACATAGCAACCCTTAACCACGCACTCCAACAAAGCGGCATACCCGGTTCCAGTGGTACAGCATCTATTACATTCCCTTGGGGGAGGAAAAGTCTTCGCGAAACTAGACCTCACACAGGCATACCAACAGTTGCCCATTGACCCTGAAACAGCGGAAGCCCAGACAATCGTGATGCACAGGGGGCCATTCAAATGTAACAGACTATAATTTGGCATCAGCGTTGCCCCAGGGGTGTTCCAGGGCTTAATGGAATGCCTATTGCAAGGGATAAAAGGGGTGGTACCATACTTTGACGATGTCCTGGTATCAGCCAAGGACAAAGAACAACTGTGAGACCGCCTAAGGGAAGTCCTAGGCAAATTCAAGGAGGCAGGACTAAAAGTAAAAAAGGAGAAGTGCCAATTAGCCGCCGGCAAAGTTGAATTCCTAGGATATCTTATAGACAGTGAAGGAATCCACCCACTGAAAATAAAGTCAGAACAATCAAGGAAGCCCCCAGACCCACAAATAAAACTGATCTGCAAGCTTTCTTAGGACTCATTAACTTTTATAATATATTCCTACCACAGAAAGCAACCATTGCGGAACCACTACACAGGTTGCTTGACAAGAAAGCAACCTGGGCCTAGGGGCGATGGGAAGAAACGGCATTCCAGGAGATAAAAAACTTGATCACATCAGACCACATACTAATACAATACAGCAAAACACTTCCAATAACACTAACCTGTGATGCATCACCTTTCGGGGTCGGCGCTATACTCAGCCACGTATTACCAGATGGGAAAGAATAAAATGTTTCCATGAATATATCTACGGGAGAACTTTCACACTAGTCACAGACCACAAGCCACTCCTGGGCATCATCGCAGGAAACAAAGCTACACCTAACATACTGTCACCATGAATGACGCAGTGGTTGGAATTCTTGGCTGCCTACAACTACAAATTAACCTACCAACCCGGGAAGGACATAAATCATGCTGATGCGCTTAGCCGTTGCCCTCTACCTGACATAGAAGACGACCCAGCACCAACCACATCGACCCTTCAAATAGAGACATTAGAAAACCTCCCCATAATGGCAGCAGACATCGCTAGGAAAACAGCTAGAGACAAAACCCTGGCGCGGATTTTAAATTGGATAGGAAAAGGATGGCCAGAAACTGAGATCGACAAGACTGTCAAACCGTTCCAGAATAGACAAACAGAACTCTCAATGCTGAAGGGGTGCGTACTAGGGGGAGATCGAGTGGTCATACCAGACAATTTACAGAAATGTATACTAGAATTGTTACATGAGGGACACCAGGGTATTGTAAAAATGAAATCCCTAGCAAGGAGTTATGTATAGTGGCCAGGGATGGATAAGGAAATAAGGGACTGGGTGGCAACTTGTAAAAGCTGCCAGGAATCGAGGCCAACACCCCCCACAGCACCAAAACACGAATGGGAAACACCAAGGGGACCATGGTCAAGATTACACATTGATTTTGCAGGCCCAACCAAAGGACACACATTTCTAATAGTTGTAGACGCTTACTCCAAATGGCTAGAGGTAAGCATCATGCACTCCACCACAACAGAAGCCGTCATTAGACAGCTCAGGGAACTTTTTGCAACACATGGATTACCGGACGTAATTCTATCCAACAATGGGCCACAATTCACGGCAACAACATTCGGGGGATTTCTAGCACAACATGGGATAAGGCATCCTTGTTACCTAAGGAGACATGTGACAACACTTGGGTGGATTGTCTGTAATTGGATGGTAGCATGAGCCTCTGAAGATTGCAGCTTTTATCATTCTGAAATATTTGAAATATAATCCCAAAGAACCGCTGAATATGAACTTGAATAGCAGCTTTGATGGAAAAAAGAAGTCACAAAGACATACTGTGCTGTAGGACCAAGATTGTGTTTTCCTTGCATTAAGCCATGTAGCTTGAGATGCTTCGTTCCACCATGATCATTAGAGTGTGGAAAGTGTGTTGTCATAGTCCAGTGCTTTACAGCCTATAAATAATAGCAATGTGCAGATATGTGGCAGATTTCAAGAAGGACTAGTAAACCACTAAGAGGAAGACCAAGTGTCTGGAAATCATATTGTGAGAGAGCACAGAATGTGCTTGCAAGGCAGAGATGTTCTTGGAAGGAAACCCAACTGAGCATATCCAGAAAATTCTAGTTCACATAAAGAAGTGAGAGTGCTATTGTTTTCCTCAAAGTGGTCTGCCATCTTTAGAAGCTTGGGTGTACATTTTAAGGGCATCATGACCAGGATCCCAAGATATTGTAAAAGAAAAGTGGGATCCTTAATTTAGAACTACTTTTCTGATGCAGGGTGTAGATATAATTTCCTATCTTGATGAATACTGCAATTTTCCCCATCTTCTCCCCTATGCAGTTATTAAGCACAGGAGTCTGTTGCTTTCAGTGATCCATTTTTATTAAAGAATATACAGATTTTCTCTTGGTCCAGAGATACTATATTAACAGTGCACAGAAAAAAAAAATACTCCTACCAATATCAGACCCCACCCCACAACTCTAAGGAAATAAAAGCAATAGTTTTCACACAACCCAGGAAATAATAAGCACGAAATACAGAAACTTCACTTTGTGCTACGCTGTGAAAGAGAACAGCAAAAGGCAGTGCAATTGTGCTATGTGTTTTTTCCCTAGAAATCTGATCAGTTAAAGGTTAGGACATCACATCTCCTTCCAACTTGTAAGCTATCTTTGCCTCCTGATAAGGCAGGTTTTTTTGCTTGTATTAGCTATTGCAGGTCCCTTATGACAGGAGTCCCAAACCTTCGGGCCATGGACGAGTACCAGTCTGTGTCCTGTTAGGAACCAGGCCGCAAAGCTGGAGGTGAGTGGTGAGTGAAACCGAAACCATCCCTCTCCCTCTGGTCTGTGGAAAAATTGTCTTCCACAAAACAAGTCCATGGTGCCAAAAGGGTTGGTGACCGTTGCCTTATGATACTATAGCATGGAGGACTTGCTTATCGAGCACATGTTTGGGAGAGGTATCTGACTCATAATGTAAGTCTGACAGAAACAATTATTACCATTAAAAACTAGAAGGAGTTGTAGCTGTCCCCCCTCCCTCTTTGCATGCTTCTGCAACTGGCTTGCAAGAAAATGTGTTAGTGATCTAAAGTCCACATCCACACTTGACATACACATTATGTCTCCAAGGTACCAGAAGACCGGCAGGCACGGGGGCAGGGTAGCATGTGATAAAATGTGATAAAATGTGTTGTGACATCGCATCCTGCACTCTCCAGTGCATAATGCAAGTACAAAGTGACAGAATTGTATTGTCACTCACAACACACAATTCGGCATTTTGGTGCCATAATGATTAGGAATAGATACGAATTCTAACTCTAATTCTAATTCTAATTCTAGGTTAAGGAACATGTAGAATGAGAATAAGATGAACACCATCTTAATGTGTTCATGTTAAAGTGATGGTACTTATGAGCACTGGACTTTTGAATTAAGAAAGAAGCTCTTAAACGGTCCTCTCTCTAGGAGACAACTGAATGTGTGTGGGAGGATAAATTAAACTAAATATGTATGGGCTTTGAAGAGATACCCAGTTTTGTTAAATGATAATAATATGAATTGGCCATGTTAGTGTCCTTCAGTATCATTTGGCATTGCCTACATTCCCACAGCATAATCTGAGTTTAACCGGCCAAGCTGAACACTTCACTCCATCCTTCCTGCCCTCATCCTGTGCAGAGGGCTACGCCAGCAGACCTATACTTCAAAATGATATAATCTTCCATTGAAATAGGATAAGAAATTATAATGTGTTCCCCAGCCCCACCACACTCCTTATTCTAGACCAGGGGTGTCAAGCTCGTGTCATCATGGCAACATCACATGACGTATTGGGACTTTCCCCCCCCCTTCACAAAACTGGGCAGGGGTGGAGCCAGCACGTGATGCTTCAGGCCCGCGGCCCGCAAGTTTGACATCCCTGTTCTAGACTCAGCAACTGGAGTTGTCTCAGCAACTGATTCTACTTCCTGCTAAACCACATACTATAAAAAGCAGCTGTTTACCAGCTTTATAACTGATAATTAGAAGTTCAAAATAATTTCTTGGCCCTCTATGAAACACAATGTTCTTCTTCAAAGCTCGATTTGCCAGTTGCTCCAACTGGAAAATATCAAAAACCCTGTCTAAGGGATCACAACCAATCCCATTGTAGTGTCATCTTAAAAAATGAAAATTCTTTTATTTCCCAGTTGCATTAATGGAGTATAATTGTGTACACAGGTGTGCATATCCAAACAACATTTCTGCAATGATTCCAGGATGTTTTTAAAGCATTGAATGCTTCAAGATTGAGCAAGAACTGCCTGTTCTTTTTATTTAATAATTAGGTCTTGAAGGGTGTCAATTTTAGCTTATTTCAGTATAATATGCACCTCACAACAAATTGTGAAGAAGGAACAAAAATGAGGAAAATAATAATTGCCTATGGACTGAACTCACAGCGTGGGTCCATTGCAGTTCAAACTCTTGCTCCTACATTACACACTCTGACAAAACAAAATGCTCATCTCCTTTCATTGTCTGAAGCTAAGAAGCTGCTAGCTGCTTTCATGCAAAACATTGGAAGGGGAAGCTTTTCCACTTTCCATTGCAATAAACTGTTACATGGTCAGTGGAGCAGGGGCAATCTCTTTTCACAGTAAGGGGAAACTGCAGCATCAGATTCCAAGAAAATATGTCAAGATTTCTTAAGTAGCTGATCACTCCAAATATAATATGAATAGGAATCCTTTGAAATTTCAGCTTTTGGAGGAGACACACTTTGTGATATCAGCAAAGGAAGAAAACAAGAGAAAAAAGGGAGTGGGGATAAATGCAATCCACACAAAATGGAACCCTGGTTGTCACGGTAATTCCATTTAAGATTAATTCATTCGTGGAGGACATGGAAATTGAGGCAACAACAAATGTGGGAGGGTAGGCTTAAAGTTGTTGAAGGAAACTGCTGAAAAGGGAACTTATAGTGAACCTTGGGAGGGAGGGACACTCTCCCTTTTTCAAGTCATAAAGCAACAATTAAGCCATTCTGGATCTGACTTGCTTTCAAAATCCAAAAAAGGAAAAGGTCCAAAAATACACAAGGAAGCTACCAAACAGAAATGAAAGGTTGTTTCTGACAATCGGGTCAGAAATGGGAGAATAGGGCAGCTGTCTCATGCTCCCAGAAGTTTCTTGACCATATAACCAGGCATGGAGTAAAGGAAAAGGGCCACCATGATGAGAAGTAGAAGAGCCAGGACAATCTTGATAATGAGCCATTTGTAACGGGTACAAATGAGGTATCTGATAGACTTGAGTGGATTCAGGAACCAGATGAAGGATGTGTCTGGACGACTGAAAAGGAAAAAGAAAATGTCTAAGCTTAATGGGGATAACGTACTTTGAGATGATTCATTCAACTTTTGTCTACAACTTACCATCCCAAGAACACCCACTGTTTAATAGCAAGTTGCTTCTTTAAATATGTCAAAGCTACCAAAATAAGCAAGATTCGGCACCTTCTCATTTATCCTATTGTTGGTCTGATGGCACAAGAAAATTCTTGATGAGAGGCTAAATCGAACACTACAACAAGCCTTGTTCATCATCCACCAGATACTTGACAAATCCTTTTATATCAGTCAAGATATGGTACAAGATATGGTACTATCCAGGCCTTGGTGGTCACAATTCATTAATGCCAAGCTAACAAAAAAGATTCATCTTTTGCAATCTTGCTTCAGAAGCCCTAATAAAGCAGCTTGTCATCCATAATTCCTTGACACAGGATGTTGGGATGCAATTTTCATAACACAAGGCTCAACCATTTGGAAGAGTGTAGTGGACTACTCCTCAAGTTTTGGGTGGATTTTTGTGAGTTAGAGGTTTTCTGAATTTCCTTTTCTCCTCACCAAGAATTTTATTTTCTTGGATGTTTAGGACTGGAATTCAGTTCCATGGCTTGATTTCAAGCCTGATTCCATTCTGCAACAATCTGATCCATTAATCAGGAAAACTATCTTTGAATATGTCAGAACCACTCAATAACATTAGCAAACCCTCATACGTTTGGAGAGAAGAACGTGCATACTAACTTGGGGAATGGCAGCATTATAATTGGCAAGCTATCCTTTCAAATTATCACTTTAGCTGGACTAGTTTTACAATGGATTTATTGTGGCAAAAATGATACTGTAAGCATGAATAGGTGGAAAAACAGAAATACCCTGGGCAAAGAAGGAAGCCTACTCAGGCCCCGAGAAGTTTCTTGACCAGATAGCCAGGCATAGAGTAAAGGAAGAGGCCAACCATAAGGAGAAAGAGAACGAGGAGAAGGATTTTCAGCAGAAGCCAACGATAGGTATGCCAGATAAAGTAGCGGATGGACTTGAGAGGGTTCAGGAACCAGATGAAGCTGGTATCTGGGCGGCTAGGGCAGGGTGGGGCAAGGAGAAGAGAGAGGCCAAGAACACGTAAGTAAGAGAAAGACAGGAAAACTGAATGGAGTCATGGGGAAGGACAGGTGATGACAATAGAGGCAGTCTAATTTTGCTTGCCGCCATAGTACCGTGTGTTTATAAACTCTCCCGTGGCCTCCCCAATTAAGTATCCCCACAGGATACAGGATATCCCTGCTCCCATCATCCTTTCCCATGCACTCACTTGGGTTTTTCCAATGGGTCTGGCTCATTACGAGCCAATCCAGCTGGACATTTCTCAGCTTCCTCAGCTGTCAGTAAATGAAGCTCGGCTTCCACTTTGCCCTGCAGAGAGATCAAAAGATCACAGAGAGGGTTACCTTCAGAATGAAAAAGGCTATGTTTATGAATAAGATAAAGGTACAGGTGAATTTGGATAAACATTTGTAAAAAAGTATGGAAATGATCTTGATAGAAATATTTATTTATTATTTACTTATTTATAAAATCAAACATTAAAATCAAAAGACACAAGCCAGAGGACGGGGAGTGGGGAGAAGGTGAGATCTGTTATTAATCAACCACCTCCATTGCACTGTTCCCATACTGGGGCTCCAAGCTGACTGGCAAAGCCATGTCTTTAGGCCATTATGAAAAGATTAGGAGGGTTGGGCCCAACCTCACATGTTGTTAACATATCCTAGCTCTATTATTAAAGCAACAAAGGGTAAACACCTCTTAAATCCACAACCAAAGGATAGCAATAGCACTTAGGCTTATATGCTGCTTCACAGTGCTTAACAGTCCCCTCTAAGTGGTTTACAGTATCAGCATGTTGCCCCCAACAATCTGGATCCTCCTTTTACCAGTCTCAGAAGGATGGAAGGCTAAAGCATCCTTGAGTTGGTGAGACTTGAACTGCTGAATTGCTGGCAGACGGCAGTCAGCAGAAGTAGCCTGCAGTACTACATTTAACCCTACGCCACCATGGCTCTTATGACAGCATTCATAAGTGGTTCAGACACCTTCCTAATTCACAGAAATATAATTACAGAAAGGGGAAAGGGGAGGAGCACAATGACACTTGTAAAATTCTGTTAATATAGCCCATCTCAATAAAATTAGTTTTATCCTTCATGTAGAGATTATGTCTTGGTCTGGACTACCTAGTAGCACTGACATCAAATCTTGCAAGTTTTATTATACACCTCCTTCTCTTTCTTATATTTCTCTGAATTAGGAAATGTGTGTGAGACACTTACAAATGCTATCTGCTTATTGTGGTATTTTTACCCTTTGTTGCTTTGGTAATAGAGTATGCATGTCTCCAGTAAGCTCATCTCTCTACCATATTTATCCCTAAGATCTACCCATCAACATGAAGAATTGGAAGGAAGCACTACGGTATTATTATAAGGCCACACAATCTGAGGAATGCTCCATAGGGATGCTATTCTATGTGAGTTGTCCTTACTTGTGAGCTATTGCTTATCTCATAATTTCCTACCATCTTTCTGGGCCTGTTTAGAAACTTTCCCCTTCACTCCTATGGTCTAAAATAACATTTTTCCAATTATCTTGCTCTAGGTTTTTTCATATCTCTCTCTTCTTTAAACAGCAATGGCAGATATCCCACATTAACATTACCGTCATCTCCATTTCATCATTCTCATTTCGAGCCAAAAAGGGCCACCAGCCCTTCACCCTCTTCTGCTTGAAGATAGAGATCATGGGCACCTCCATTTCACCAGTTCCCATCTCCATGCTGCACTGCTTGGCTGTCTTAGCACCACGTGGGAAGCGGTTCAAGTCGAGCTCAATGCCTCCTATGGGAATATGAAGAGAAAGGAAGAATACTGAAGGTTCCCTTAGCTGTGAGACAAGGACTTCCAGAGATAAATCAAAATACTATAATGTTCTATGTTTCTTTGGCTCAACCTTTAAGTTGAAAAGGAACATGGAATTTGTAAGGCCCACTTCTATTTTTAAAGGAACATTCCAAAATACTAAAATTAACGAGTCTCAGATTAATGTATGTCATCTTCATTATAACTGGTGCAGTTTGATAAAACAAAAAACTGATGACATTCCCACAGTATTAAACTCTGCTTATTCCTTATTCCTGAGAGGATTATCCATCATCCCCTATGCCAGCCCCTCTTCAGTTTCAGTTGTATTTCTGAACCAGGAACATCTGCCTTCCAGAAGTTAAACATGATCAGCAATCAAGGCCTCCGACATACCAAGGAAGTCATCAGCAGAAAAATGATCAGCATCCCACACTTGTAATGTGAGTCGGGAGGGGATCTTGTATTCAGTTTCATCCCAGGAGAACATAGACTCTTTCTTAGAAATAACAATCTTTTCTTCTGCTGCAAGGTAGTCAAAAGGAAAGATGTAGCGCCAGTTAAAATTGCCCTCTCCTGTCAGTGAGTGGTAGTGGACATCAGTATCCTGTTTGTCTTCTTGCTGGCCCTTCAACCACCTGCATGAACAAAAACAAGGTAGCTGATCAGAAGAAAGGATGAGATTGGAAAATAAGCTCCAGCCATATCATTGAATGATTAAGTTCACTCTGGGCCAACTTAATCAGCAGTGGAGATGGATGGCAAAATATACAGTAGTTTGGGAAGATGGAGAGCTTTGTTTGCAGGGAGATGGAGGAGACCATGAGGATGTGGAGTGAATCCACCTCCAATTTAGTACCTTCTCTATGGGTTGGACTGTAAGTCCCATCATTCACAGCCAGCAGGATAATGGGCAATGACTAATGCAAACCAAATACTTTTAAAAGGAACCAATGGAATATAGATACAACTTTAATGAAAGAACAGATGAGCCACAAAAGGAGAGGAAAAAAAATCTTAATCATGATGAAATGGAAAGTGTAAGAAAGAAATTCAAAAGATTTTAAGATTCTGTTGTTATACCCTACAACAATAGAGTAGCATTCCTGTAATCTTTGAAGTGTCTGTTTTCTGATTTGACCTATCTCACAGAGACAAAACATACTGAGGAATACTGGATTAAAAAGTCTTCTCCCTGAGTATGACTCCGTGTTGTAAGTGACAAAAAGTAATGGCAAAGACCTCAAAATGCAACAGTCATGCACTTCAGGAGTCCAAGTGATCCAGAGAGTACTTTGGATTACTCTGAATGAAAGCTGCAAAATTGTTATTTCACAACATGATTGCATTGCTTAATGTTAAAGTGAATTTTTATATGTTAAGTAGAATTCATACCTATTCTATAGGATTTGGAATTGTTCTGTTAAGCAGAGAATGGAGATAGAAAGGAAGTATTTTCTGTAATTTTTCTTTCTCTCGGGTTGCCTGTCATGGCACATGTCAAGAACATTTCCCATTGGAATTCAAGGAATAACACTCATTTGGGGATACCAGAAGTGTTCATATTTTAATCATGAAACAACCTTGCCTTCCCATACAAACAGCCTTCTGAACCTCCAAATAAATTATTGGAAGCTAAAAATAGTCATTTTTCAGCTTTAGCCTTGAAATATTGCCTTTATTACCAGTGTTGAGTTTATGATGTTTTTCCAAAACCAAGTCAAATATCAGGAAATTCTGCCATTATATCAAAATTATTTCATATATTTCCCCAGGAGTTTCATGCTGAGCATTTGAGTGTTTCTGCTTGATACAGCTGAAAATAGACCATGTCCTCTGTGAGGTTGCTTATTCCATTGGGGTAAAATTATTTCTGCTCAAAAAAGAGGCTTTGCCTGACATGTCCCCAAATGATTGTCCAAAATGCTCTTCCCATCCTCCAAAGCATGCAATAGAGAAGCAAGCCATCCTTGTTGAATGATCCCATCCGCACAATCTTCTTGCCAAGCCAGGCCTCCGCCTCTTGTACTGAGAATTGTGGTTCACAAAAAGCAGAACACCCACACTACTGCTTCAATTTCCCAAAACATGCAGAAAGGCAGAAGACAAGAACACTCCACACTCAGTCAGAAAGAAGAAAATCACCCTTTACATGTATCATACAGTTCACTCCAAGGTGTGTATATATGGTTTGGCAGAAGTGCATCTAACTGGGAAGGTGTAAAAGTATACCAGTGGAATGTTAGGATGCATCTTGAATGGAAGGCACATGATTGCCCTGCCCTCTAGCAATCAAATATTTGCACCATCATGAATCTCAAACTGTTCTGTTGTACAACAGCTGACTGGGCTTTTTTATTATTCTAATGTCTGGAGACCACATGGCATTGGGCTAGGCAAATATGGAAGAGAAAATCCAAAATTACTAAGGATTTTTTTTTAAGTAGAAAAAAATCTGAACAGGATTGAGTACATAATCCATTACTATTTTGTGTTGTATATGTCCTTTTTGGAACCACTTAAGACTAAGAGTCAAAAGCTTCTTATTCTGGAGCCTTTTGTGATGATCTACCATAAGAAGGATCAAGGAAAAAGAGACCAGTATTCTCCCTCCAGGATCAGCCCATGAGTTGCTTCTGAGTTACTTAGATATTCTGCAGAACAGTTTATACTAAGCTATTTGCTTAGCTAACAGAAAATTCTGGATATGCCCACTTAGTTTTCTACTGTTATTTTAGATGTTTCTGATCATTTGCCTCAGGCTTAAGTATGATTGAATGTGCATGTGCACTGGAGCACTGACAATTCCACTCATATATGAATGAAAATGCCCCTCTTGATGTCCTTAAGTAGAACAAGAGGCGACATATCAAAATGATGTTCAAATGTTTTCTTTTCTGTATAAGTCACTGGTGGCTTTATGAGATCCATTGTTTTCCTTCTATTCAATAGTAGTGTTTTGGTCCGACCAGTAAAACTATGTTATAGTTCCTATGTCACATAAGAGAGATTGGCATGCACGTAATAAAATAACTCAAGGATTCCTTACTTAGAGACAATCAGAAAGTTTCATTTTACTCTATGATGCACAGATTTTCCAACACTTGTTCACATTTTTAAGTGTGCACATAATGTAGTTGGACATATGAAGCAATACTTTGTAAAGAGACTATTAATAAATGGGAAACAAAAGAAGTCAAAACAGCAAAAATATCTTTAGATGGTCCAGAATGCTTCTAGTTCACCACAGACTGTACTTTGCTAGGGGAAATTACTTTGAAAGCATTCTTCGGCTCTACCAATACTACTATCTCCCTACTGTATGGGAAATTATTGGTAGAGCTGATGGAACTTTATGGAATTCCTTATGGAAAACTAGGAAGGTACACTAGGCAGATCTAAATGGTGGTGCCTCCACCACAGGAATTACAAAGGATCAAAAGGAAACTTCTCTGTACTTTCTCTTACTCATATAGTCCTATTTCTTGGATGGGCTGAGTAGTAAGCCTTGGTCAATAACTCCTCATCATGTCTGACTTCATCATCTCCAGGATAACTTTACTGAAGTTCTCAGGAATTGCCAAAAGCTTACACCTAGCTATCACGCACAGCAGACAGTGGCACACAAGAACAAAAACACACAGAACAGAAGAAAGGGGCAGAACACAGAAGCAAAGTATCCATTACTGCTGCCTGCACAGAGCAGATGCTTTGCCTATGAAACAATCAGCCATCCTCTGCAGAGACCTGAGAGCCAAGCGGCACCAAAATCACAGAAAGCTCACACACAGAATACCCAATTGGCCTTGAGGAGCCGCATGTACGTACCCACGGACAAAAATGTCACTGGATTTCTCGCCAGTGAAGTAATCATCGTCCTCCAGGACTACCTCATCAGTGTTCCAGATTATTACTCTAAGTTCATATCTGGCAAGGAGGAAGGAAGGGAGACAGGGATGAGCAGAGGAGAGGAAAGATGGAAGTGGACCTTGGGGGTATAAGATTGCCAATAAAAATAACATGCGTATACTTTTAAGACATCCACCCTCACTCAGCAAGACTTGAGCTGCTTGAACAAGACTATTATATGTTGGGCTTATTTAGTTTCCTCTTCAGTTGTTTTGGACTTTAACTAGAGTTGAAAAGCATCCGCTGGGACTCCTCAAATTCAAAATGATGTTTGCCCCCTACTTCTCCAAAGAAACATCAGATATCTTTTCAGTCCAAATTTGCTTTTAGTGACTAAGGACAGGCCAGTATGTCTTTGGTCTCATAGACATACTAACAAATAAGTTTGCATTAATCAGATTAGGGTGGGAACCAAATGAAAGCCTATTGATTTTGTCCATAACCCAGCCTCTAATAGGGTAAGGTTCAAATTCCCATGCCTTGATATAATCTGTTTTGTTTTTGAAATAATGTTCCAAAACAGTATAATTTCCCACCAAGTTTAAGGTGGGTATCTGGGAGAAAAAGTAATTCTTACTGCTTCCTTATTAATCTGTATAGAGGTAACTTTCATGTTACAATTTAATATGAGACTGTCAGAAAAATACAGGGCTATGTGGTCATCTTACCTTTCTCATATTTTACTAATAATGATAATCTGTATTTATATGCATAAGACTTTTGAGTAGTTGACTTGAATAATCAACTCAAGAAGTCCTGAAGAATTCTCATTCAAAATCTCTCTAAGGTAGCAACTTGCTTCCAACAGTAACAATCAGATGTTCATAGATAATCAATCAAGAAAAACCTGAAGACAACAGCTATTACCAAAAATGGTGATAGGTGATGAATTTAACTATTGTCTATTATTTAGGATTATCCATGTCTCTAAAACATTTAGAATAAATTGTTTATTCAGTTGCAATTCATGAATCAGTGACCACGTTTATCTTTCTGCATAAACTGGAAAAAAATGTGGCTACTTAAGAGTTGCCTCTAATAAAGGATTCATTAAAGCATTAACTTCTTTTTTCTGGCTCAGGAGGAAGCTTGAACAAAGGTTGCGGCCACTTTAATGGATAGAAGAAAAGGCTGAACTTATACATGTGAAGCATGACAATTAATCTGTTTTGTTCCATCAGAAAAGTCAACTCCAAGGACTGTGTAGCACTTCAGATCTGAACTCAAAGCAGTCCTTTTGGTTATAGACAGGGATTCTTGCATATGTGGCAGTTCCTTAAACCAAATTCATCTTTTCATGGGAAATGCATCTTTTCCTACAGAATCAGTATTTTTAAAATGCTATAAACATGTTTTTCTCCATCCATTCAATTATATTTAAAAACATTTTTAATTAATTACAACTTTATCCTCTCTCTCTCTCTCTCCCTCTCTCCCTCCTTCTGTCTCTGTCTCTCCCTCTTCCCTATTTCTCAGTTCTAGTCATACATTACTTATCCTTTTGCACCTGGAAGATTTATTGTTTTTTTCAGCATGCACTGACCCCATCAGGACCTTCCAAGTAGAACCCCACCCCACCCTCACCCAAACTAGGGCAAGGCATTACTTCTTTGGTTTCCTTGGTGAGATGTCAATGGCAGGGCCTGGTGCCGGCATGTCCATCGGGAACATGTCCACCCATAACTCCAGCCGTCCCTGCAACATTGGAAAGACCCAGTTATTGGTTCCTGATGTCCCCAAGTTTAACTTCTTACCGCTGGATTCCATTTTCAGGAATCCATGAACCCCTGTTCATCCCAATATTTTATAAACATGAGATTAGCCAGGTGATCGATTTTGAATTATGGACAGTGGGACACTTCTTTGAAGTAAATAAGTTGAATTCAAAGGGAACATCCCTCCTTTATTGCTTTCTCAGTCCAGCAATTAGCATTCAGTGATACATTGCTTCAGAACAGAGACTCTAATAAGTAACTCACTCATATTCTACCATTCTATTCAATCAACCGGTGGCTCAAGGAACACATGTGTTCTTTCAGAGAAACTTGTTACCCGTAACCAAGTTCACACTCTTAACTCCCATTTTCTTGCCACTGAACAGTTGTCATATTAGTAAACTAATGAGCTAAACAGTGGACTCTCCTTCTGTCCAACTGATTAACGCTGGGAAAACTGTTTCTCTAACCCAGGGGTGTCAAATTGCTGGCCCGCAGGCTGGATGCGTCATGCGCAGGCCACGCCCACCCCAGCTCCACAAATGGGAAAACGTCGTGAAATGTCATGTGACAGCAAAGCGACACCATGAGTTTGACAGCCCTGCTCTAAAGGCTTACTAAGCTCTTTCACCTTCTCAGCATCAAAATGAAAAGAACAAGGAGGAATAGTAGCTGTGCCAAGAAGGACTGAGGACATTTCCAGCCTGGAGAGTTATGTCCTTTGCATCTCCAAGGAAAAAGCTATTAAGAAATGTGGCATCCAAAATTAGTGCTCTTTGAGATAGCCCTGAAGTGAGTAACTTCAGCTCCTATGCAAGCTTTGTGTAAAGCTTCTCTAATGTGTCAGCTATGCAGGAAGAAGAACTACTCCCATTTAAATCTAAAAGGATTGTACACCTCCTCTGAGGTTCAGGTCTACAAGTCCTATGTTGCAACAAACCCCAAAGCCCATAAAAGGAGACAGTTTTAATGTGTCAGTTGAAGTTCTTAATATTAACTCAATACATTTCATTTACAAATGAAAAAAAAGGAAAGGCCTCCTCTACAACCAGTGTGGACTTCTACTCAGAAAATGTTATAATGGTAAACTCTTTCCAAAGCTTTTTAGAAACTCCTTTTCAATGGTGAGTATCACAACATCTTACGACTGTGTCGACAGTGATCTGATCAGACTCACAGGCATTAAGAAATGTCATAAGTTTATGCAAAAAGTGTCTTCTTTAGTGTTATGCTTAGTCTTTATAAGAAAGAGTATGACACAAACAGAAGTTGTAGCAGAATGCAGATACAACTGATGTGCAAGGCCAACAGAACAGTGTATGTGCAGACAACAATATTGCTAAGTACCTGTTCAATGCCTGGCTTGTCTGGGTTCAGCAATGGCCTTGTTTCCACATGCTCAGGCACTAATTTGCAGCCCACACGGGGCATTCCCTCCCAGTGGTGCAACACAGTCAGTGCCAAATGCTCATCTGTCTGTTTTTTCTGACCTACAAGCATGGAGAACACAGCAAAGACTCGGAGGCAATGAAAGAATGCAACCAAGGTTGGTTTTGTTATTTATTTAGTCCTTCTTCATCCAGATGGATGCTGGGCAAGGTACAAGTTCAAAAACCAAGCCACCCCATGAAAGCAAAATACAATTGAATATACTACAATAAAGGATTATATTAGCAAAACTGCTTGAATAATGGGGTTCAAGTAGAATGAAAGTAATCCAAATTTTGGGTTAAGATTAATGGAAAGTTTTCACATGCACCTTCTGAAAATTAAATAAATTAGTATAATGTTGCTTGTATTGAATAATTTTATTTTATTTATTAATCACCAGAGGAAAAAGAAGATAAAGTGAGTAAGAAAGTTGCCTGGATATCTCTTTCCTTTATAACTCAAACGACTGCATAGTCTCAATCTTGATTTAACATATCTCTAATAATTGTGGACATTTTCAAGTATATCTTTACAGCCACAAGAATGAGGATTTTGATTTTTGGAAGATAAACCTTTGATTCTCAGGATTGTGAATTCTATGTCTCCTTCTAAAGTCAATATTTTTACAGTATAATAACGCAAATCAGTTATAAAATAATACAAGGTTATGCTTCATAAACTCATGCATCATTGAAGTGCCTTGATTTTCAGCACTTACCATTTTCATCCTCTACTTCAATGGGGCCGGTGAAGACTTGATTGGTCACCTTCACTCTGCCTCCAGGGCCATAGTGGGGACCATCAACTTTTCCTTCTTTACAAAGCTTGGATAGGATTTGGGTAGGCTTTTGGGGGTCTCGCCACATATTATATCCATGCCTGCGGAGAGAAAGATTGTCAGATCAAATCCTCAGGTCTGTGAGTTCACAAGTTTGTAAAGCCGCCTTTAACAGATGCTCTTTTAAAATCAGGATGTTGTTTTATAAGATTGCATTAATAAGTGGGTGATTTTTGACCTAAAAGTATTTTTTGATATACAAATGAGACCAAGAGCTCATCTTAAGCAAATGGGCTATATCTGGATCTGAAACACTATTCTCGCTTACATCTGAATACTACTTACCTCAGCTGACCACATATGATAGACAGAGGGGATATAGCTAATGCATCCAACATGCAAAGCAGGTGCTTTATCTGTTGAATTGGGGCATATGTGCCAAAATCCTATTATATTTTATATAGATTTTTTTTCTATCCCCTCTATCTATCATGAGCAGTCAGTGTTGGAATAATATGACCAACAGTATGGCTTGATGAAAAGAGCTTCCTTAATTCCTAAAAATGATATAATTTTCTTTCTTAAAATATTCAAACTCATATAGCAGTCTGATCAACAAGACTTCCTAAGACATAGGCAGATTTGGAAGTCAGAGATGTGATTTATATCTTCCCAAAGAGATAGGTATTTTCTTATCAAAAGGTAGATCCATAATTTGGGTGAGAAAGGGCTGGCTTTGGGGAGTATCATTAGAACATTATTTTAACTTTTTAAAATAATGAGAAGGTTAACTATTCTTACACAGCATAGTTCCGAGAAATGCCACATGTTGCTCTATGCTTGCTGTAATACCGATTCTCCAGATCTATCTTTGTCTCACCAATCAGATCATCCGAGCCCACCAAGTCCCAATCATAAATAGCCACCGTCAACATGGATTCCATGGGGAATGTAGCCTCAATGTCAAAGGATCTATACAGGAAGAAACAGGAACAACAGCAAATGGGATCAACTTTTCCATGAAATGGAGAGTCTTATGCAGAAACCTAAAAGACATCCTTTGGCTATTTTGGTTATTTTGAAGAAAATTTGTTCCCGATGTATGTTTATGACTAAAATGAGCAAGAAAATGTAGAACTAAAAACGATAACTTAGAGGATTCAGGGCTGCACTAAAGTTAGTTCATTAAATCCATGCCATTGCATATGTGCTCCTATTTTTCATGGTAGCATCTAGTAATTTGTTTTTTTATACAAAAATAACATCTAAATGCTTTAACTGGCTTCCATGTAACCCTGTAGTATTTAACACTCATCCTGGTTCACCACTTCTTACTTTCCAAAGATTGGGTTCAGCTGTTTAGAGATGTAATTCTCCTTGTCTTTGATATCTGTCTTTCCCAATCTGATGACAACGTAAGGGTCTGCTTTGCCATTGATGTCAGCAGGATGCAAATCAGTAGCCTGGAAGGGAAGTCAACCAACAATCAAGAGAAAAAAGCTTTTTACTGATGGTACTTCCTGTAAGGCAGAGCTCTCCAAAGTGATCAATGTTGATGGGACTCTCCATTACTGTTGTTGTTGTTGTTGTTATTTGTAGTATTTATTAAATATTTATCTAATTATATTCATACAATGAAAGTTTGGGGATTGATGAACAGTCTGAAACTTCACGAGGGGGTCAATGAGCTGAAAAGTTTGGGGAACTTGCTCTAAAGAAACTTTTCCAAGCAAGTTTTACTTAGTATTTTTAGTGTTACGAAAATACATTTTTTTAGTCTTATTGGTCGAAATTTAGTGTTTTTAAACCCTAATTGTTTTCCTGCTATTTTTATTGTGGTTTTATGCTGTTTTCATTATTGGTGATAATTGCTGCTCCAGATTTTCATATTGCTGCTTTAATGATGTATTTTCATTAAATTAAATCAAGTGTTAAATTGACAAAGCAATTCTGATAGGGACACAAGGAGTTCTTCTACCTCTTTGGCTGGCCAGTTAGATGGGGTGCTTTGGGCTTCTCAAGAAGTACAGAAGTTATGAGACAGAGGCCTAGAAAAAAATGAACACTGGGAAAGGAAAATCCGTAGTAGTCTGACATACTAGACCTTATGGCACATCTGCTCTAGAGTTGGAATTTCAAAATTTTGCCACCAATACTGGCCCAATAACCAGCTAGCACATGAACCCTACTGAGAGAGCAAACGTGTATAGGGGCCTGCAAAATAGAATACATTTACCATATTAGTCCTCAGGTGAATAGCACTCCAATATTTCAGAGATTCCTGGGGCCCTTTTTCTTAATTTCCTTCTTCTCCTCCCCCCCCCATCCCAAGCTGATAAAAGCTGTTCTTAATTATTCAGGGCAAGGCATAGCAACAAATCATTTTTCCTAAAATCTGGGGAGTCAGTACTCGATAGCAGAGAGCAAACCCAGGCTGAGACCTTCTAGATAAAACATGGAAGTCCAAACCTTCAGAGCTGGAACAGATATGGCAACAATATGGCCTTGAAAGCTGTATCTCATTTGTTCTCACCCTCACAATGTAGACTCGGACCAACACATTGATGGGATCATTGCTTGGAATTCCTTGAAACATGCCAAAAGTAGAGTCATATACAGCCTCCTTGGTGATATCATCAGGAAGAGGCACTTTATAAACACACAGGGACCCCTGGGAAAGAGAAGACAAAATTTTAGCCCAATTAAAAGTCCATCTAGGTTTTGGCAGAGAAGGCAAGAAGCTACTAAGCTCTCCTTTTCCATCTTCTGGCAACTGCACCAGGCCTGTGACACAACACCACCAGTAAGTTTAAACAATACAAGTAGAATTAAAGTTTTTGTGGCTCTAATGGAATTACACCACACTTGGGAATATTTTAAAATAAAAAAGATAAAATGTAATAAATAAGTAATTTACAAAAACTTACGATTTCCACAAGAGAGCTGTATTTAAGGAGACATTATTTTTTCAGCTGTTGGAATGGTGACAAAATATTTACCTACTCAGCAAAGTTAGTGAAAAAAAAAATCCTTAGTGCTGAACTAGCGTCATGACAATAGCACATATGGCATATTTTGCTCTTGCAATCTGCAAATGCTCTGCTGTAAATTTGACTGATGGGGATACTGAGAATGATTAGAGCAATTCCAAACAATTCTTTCATTGGCCTTTTCTCCCCTAGTGTAGACAAGAGAAATCACGCTTTTCTCTACCCAAAGCAAATGCAAGAAAGGATGCACTGTGTATATATTGGAGAAGAATCTTCAGTCTGATTTAAGCATGGTATATAAAATCATACATTGCAATGTCCTACCTGTCGATGAATACTTCAGCTTCAACCATAACAACACAAGAGCACACAAAGGATACAAACTCAAAGTTAACCGCACCAAACTTGATTGCAGGAAATACGACTTCAGCAATAGAGTGGTCAATGTCTGGAATACTCTACCCGACTCTGTAGTTTCTTCCCCAAACCCCAAAAACTTTAACCTTAGACTGTCTACTATTGACCTCACCCCTTTCCTAAGAGGTCTGTAGGGGGCGTGCATAAGCGCACCAACGTGCCTACCGTCCCTGTCCTATTGTTTCTCTTATTCTTTTTTTATTTTTCTTATATGTACCCATTTCATGTATTCACAACTATGTATACACTTATACTTATTATCTTGTAAACAATTGGCAAATCAAATAAATAAATAAATAAATAAATAAAATTTCAAAGGCTTGTTCTCCTCTTTAATTTGGATTAACATTCCTGATTTATCTATCCATTTTTTCACTCATTCCATTAATTTTGCTAAATCCCCGTGATCTTTCTTTTAAAACAAGACAAGTTTAACTGAACAAATTCTCTGTTCAGATCAAAAGTGGAGTGAAATCAGATCCTTTCTTTGCCTCTCTGGCTTGCCAATAGTCTACTAGGATTAATGAAATTGGAAATAACTAAGTGAAATTTACACTTACTTTAAATCTTCCCACAATGCGATCTTCATCTGCAGAATTGTCATCATCATCTCCAATCTTCCCACGAAGGAGGTTAAACGTATGCAGCCAGTCCTCAAAATTATCAAACTCTGTCTCCAGTTCTTTGGGATACACCTAGTTAGGATGGCACAAATAACATAATTTGGGCCTCTGACTATTATGATCACATATTTGGACTTATTCAGGAGCAATAGTACTTATTGGTCAAAATTAAGATATTTTGCTAACGTAGGAGATATAATGCACAGTCATGCCCACCGCCAGCTTCAAAATATGGTCTTTGATCCTTTTTTATGAAAAAAAAAATATGGAGAACATCTATAAGCATACAATAATATGCAATAACAGAACCATCCAAATTGATGAGATCTCTTTTCCTTATTTCTTTTCCAGTTTTCTTGCCAGTCTGAAAGTCATAAATATTTTTATCATCATTTATGACATTGCAAAATATAATTGTTGTCACAAGTTTTATTTCATTTCATTTGTATCTTCTTTTCTCCCACTCTCATAATTGATGAACAGCATCTAAACAATACAGAATTCCACTGTGATACTGCAAGGGTGTGTGTGGGTGTGTGGGTGTGTGGGTGTGTTATTTTGCAGAAACACACTTCCTTGTAAATAAAATAAAAGAACAATGAAGCAAAGAATGTGAAAAAAATTTAAAATTAGGTCAACCTATTTAATCATTGCAGTAAGGCACACTGACAATCTATAGCAGTTATATTCAGTGTGGTAACCTTTAGATGTATTGAATATAATTGTCATTTTCAATCAGCACGACCTATCAGAACATGTGGAAAAGTAGGCTGAAAGGCAGTGAAGAAATGGATGAACAAAAGGAACTGCAAGTAATTTTGTGTATGATTGAAATCTCCCCAGAGCTGAGATAGGTGGGAAGTTAGGTTGACATTCCTTTTATTCAGAATTTCTGACTGTGAAATGGTAGATTTACTAGAAGACTCTTCTCTCTACCTAATGGCAGTTTTATCTCTCTTAAATATCTTGTTCTAAGAGGACATTCAAAGAACAAAAATATGTTGTCTCTTAGCCTGTCAAAACTAACTATCACAAGGAAATATTACACAATAGGCTTTTCTTTTATTTTGCAATTTTAGGACAAGAATTAACTTGTGTTGTTTGATTATATTTTTACCCTTGTAAATGCTTTTGATAGTACTTTTGAGTACAGTAAATTCTAATAACACCAAGTCATGCACTGTTTTCATTTTAAGAACATGACCATGTAATCTGGAATTCAAAAATATTTATAAATAAGCAGCAATGACTTCCCCAAGGTTGCATTTCTGAATGGTGCATGAAGGAAGGTTATGGGAAATGCCTTCTCCTGAGCTCAGTGCTGTCTGCACTGACTCATCTACAGGATTTCAGAGGAGGGTCTTTCTCAATTAATAAAGGAGAGTATTTGTAGCTCAGGGTTGAAATGAAGGGTTCTTGGTGCTCTCTGCGCTTGGTTGTTTTTTTGCAGATGTTTCATTACTCACAATTAGTAACATCATCAGTGCTAGTGACTAGTGATGCATGTCACTAGCACTGATGATGTTACCAATTTTGGATAATGAAACAACTGCAAGAAAACAAACCAAGCACAGAGAGCACCAAGGATCCTTCTTTCTCAACTCTTTAGAGATGAGAAGAGATAAGATTTTAAATCTTTCAGAATGCACATTAGGGCTTGCCAGCACTACAACTGGAATATTATGGACATCTTAAAGCATTCTACTTCATACTTAATGACATTCTGCAAACCACATGGCATAAATTCTGACCCTGCTCCTTTTGGTGATAGTATAGCACAGGGGTGTCAAACTCATGGTGTCACGTTGTCATCATGGGATGTATCACAACTTTTCCTCCTTTGCTAAAATGGGTGGGCGTGGCCAGAGCATGACGCATCCACCCTATGGGCTGCGAGTTTGTACCCCTGATGTAGCACCACAGGCATGCTCTTTATAGAGCAAAGGGGTTATAAAAGGACCATTGATAAGAGTTGCCTATCCATTGTGCACGCACTACTACATTTCAGCACACCTAGAATAAAGGGAGGTTTGCCTGCTAATTGTTAATTATTCTGATCGGTAGTAATAGATGCTGGATTTCATTTGGGAAACTGGCCTCCGCCTCTCCCAGAACCACATGAGCTGAATTCTGAATGGTGCTTCACTTTGGATTCTTTTAGAGTTCCCTTTCATTTCAAAGGGACTTGAACAGAAAACTAAGGACTAAAAATACAAAGCTAAAACATTACAACTGGATAAAATGCTTTTCATTTAATTTGGATTAGGAATGGGAACATCTCACCTTCATTTCATCGATCTTCTGCTTGTTCTTCTTTTCAGGGGCATCTGGCTGGGGCTGCTGCTGTTTTTTCTTCTTGTCCTCTTTGGATAATTTGACTTTGTCTTTGGTCTTTCCTTGGCCTTTTGAGCCTTTTATAGGAGAGTCATCAAGTCTCATTTCTAAACTCCCAGAGAAGAACAGCAGATATAGATGGCAAGAATAAAAAAGTTTGTAGTCGGGAAGGCATGAGATAAAAAAAAACAACAACAAAAAATCAGCCATGGCATGCATGAAAGCTGACAGAAAAATTAGCTAGTAAAAAGTAAAGTTTGCAATACTGATCTAGCTTCCAGCCCTGAAATAATCATGCAAGCAAGCACCTTGTGCTGGTTAAGAATATTCAGTGTATTCTTGGGGCCCTGTGGCTTCTTATTGGACAGACATTTCATTACCTGAACTGATAAGTAGAATAAATAATTGAGTTGAAGTGAATGGGTTTACAGAGGTAGAAAATGCAAGAATCAGAACCAGGGGTGGGTTTTTACCTGTTCTGTCCACCTCTGTAGAACCGGTAGCTCTGAACAGCAGCAGACACAGAACCAGTTCTATGTCTGCTGATGTTTTTGCCCACCCGCCCACCCAGGGTCTTACCTGATCTTTATTTCTTGATTTTTCAACTTCAGCTGCCGAACGAGGCACAGCTGCAGTTAAAAAAGCAGGAAAAGAGAGCTGTTTCAAAGGCTGCTTCTCTGCAGGCAGCTGCTGCTGCTGATTTACAGGCGCATGGCTCGCAGCTTGCAGGGAAGCTCGTAAATCCAAAACTGGTAGTTAACAAGTGGCAACAGGGGGAAGAATCATCAGAAGCCTGTGGCCTAGTAAACTAGATTGCTTCTGTTCACTGACCATACCTCAAAGCATGCTGACCTGGTAGGATGGGATAAGCAATGAAGTCACACGGATGTGTTTAACTACTACAATATTCCTATATCATGCTGTCATTTCTACTATTTCTGCCTCCCCCTTTTTGCCCTTCTTTCCCATGAAATAGAATAGAATAGAATAGAATAGAATAGAATAGAATAGAATAGAATAGAATAGAATAGAATAGAATAGAATAGAATAGAATACTTTATTGGCCAAGTGTGATTGGACACACAAGGAATTTGTCTTGGTGTAAATACTCTCAGTATACATAAAGAAAAGATACATTCGTTAAGAATCGAGAATCATAACCTACAACACTTAATGATAGTCATAGGGTACAATCAACAATCAAATCATACTAGGAAACAGTCAACATAAGTCGTAAGGATACAAGCGACAAAGTTACAGTCGTACATTCACAAGTGGGAGGGGATGGGTGATAAGGAGTGATGAGAAGATTAACAGTAATAGTAGTGCACACTTTGTAAATAGTTGAACAGTGTTGAGGGAATTATTTGTTTAGCAGAGGGAATTATTTGTTTAGCAGAGTGATGGCTTTCGGGAAAAAACTGTCCTTGTGTCTAGTTATTCCGGTGTGCAGTGCATAGTCGTTTCAAGGTATATAAAGCCTGGTTCTGCTTTTGCTCATAGCTACTCAGTAAAGTACTAAAACTTTAAGGATATCCAATATACAGTATACTGTATTATTACTTGCATGCATGTATGTAAAATTGTCTTCTTCAAAGTGATCTTTTGGTCACAGCAACAGATTAAGAGGGAGATTTGGAATGGCAAATGGCTGTTATATGGGGGGAAGGATACTTTTTCATATTTTCTACTAATTTATTCTATAAACTCTCATGAGCTCCCACATACTCCAAAGAGGAAATCTTTATATATCTTCATAAGGATATTGTCCTTTTGTACAGTTTCTTGTGTACTTACTTTAGCACCATATGCCATTCTCAATATAGGGACTTGCTAAATATTACTATGTATTGGTCTTTAATTGTTCTGTAACAGACAATCAATCAACCAACAGGTGAGTACTTCCTTAATTAAAGAGCTACAGTGAAAATAGAGAGAGTTTTCTTTGTAAGGGAAGAATCACAAGATCTCCTCTCCTGTTTTTCGTCTTCCTAATTTTCAAACGTTTACCTTCAGTGGTGTCCATCTCTTCTTTCTCCTCGGCTTCTGCGGCAGCTGCCTCTTGCTGCTGAAGTAGCTAGAAAAATGAAGGGTAGCCAATAGGATGGTTAAATATAGCACGATTTCTTTTTCGATACATGGACAGTAATCATTTACCAGACTACAGAAATACAGAGAAAAGTGAATTCAAATGCAATACCTCCTGTGGCATGGCAAAAATCATGCCATCACCAGTCTTGAAGAGATCAGTGGTGGTATTCAGCTGGTTCGCACCAGATCGAGCGAACCGGTAGCAAGGATTTGGTATGGGTCACCAAATCAGTAGTAAGTTCTGGCTGGCCACACCCCCGACCTAGTCGCCCTCCTGCCCAATGCTCGCTTCACCCTGCCCACCTGACATTCGCCTAAACTATTTCTTTCTTTTTTGCCCTCCTGACAATCAGCTGTGCCAGGATTCCCCTTCCTGAGCCTCAGAGGAGCCTTATGGGAGCAAAAACGCCTTCCCCCCGCAAGGCTCCTCTGAGGCCCAGAAGGCCCCAAAAACGGGTGGGGGGGTGGCTGTAAGGAAGAAAAAAAAAAAAAAAAAAAGCACCACGCCCACCTAGTCACATGGCCATGCCCACCAAGCCATGCCCACAGAACTGGTAATAAAAATTCTTGAATCCCACCACTGAGAGAGACCTATATTTACCCTTTAACTGGAAGGCTTGGGACAATGAATAATACAATGGGCCTTCTGGGCCTCAGGGAAGCCTCCTGGGGGAGCGTTTTTGCTCCCCACCGTCCATTTTTTGCCTTCCTGGGCCTCAGGAAAGCCTCCTGGGCAAAGCAGTAAGACAGTGAAGGGGATCCCAGCACAGCTGATCATAGGAACAGCTGATCGTTGGGAGAGGAAAAAAATACCTTAAGGAGTGACTGGACAGGGAAGAACGCAGTCAGTGATGTCGGGCATGCGTGAAATGTTGTGCATGCGGAAAAAGGGCTGACTGGGTGGGGAGGGGAGGGGCAGAGGGGGTGGAGCCAGCCGGGGGCACAATTTGCCGGTTCCCCGAACTGCGCAGAATCTTAACAAACGGTTCTATAGAACCAGTCCGAACTGGTAGAATCCCACCCCTGGTTATAGCACTATAAAGATTCAGATAGTTTTTCAGAATGTAGAGTATGAAATCTGGAGGGAGGGGACATACTAATATAATTTTCTTCCCAAGGAAAGAATAGTAGAAGTATATAACCAATCTAATCTAAAAATAGAAAAAGATTGCTTTGGGATTGTTTTTAACAATGCCTTAAAAACAAATTAATTTGGAAAGGCCAAGTATATTTAATAATCAGGAATACAGAGTTGAATTAATTTGTATATTTTGTCCATGAAGAATGAAATGTGAGACTGGCTCTCACATAGTCTTTCATCTCAGTAGGATAATATTGCCAGGTGAATTACTGGATAGTTCTGAAATCTTCTTCCTCTGATATCTAAAAGAATTCAGGGCCCACATCTGTCCTGCTTGCCAGTGAGTGCCCACCTTCATAGTTTCAATGGAAGCAAAATACTTGGACCACCAGTCCAGCATGCTCTCATCAGGCTCCTCATCCTCAACTTCTTCTGCATTTCCTTTCTTCTTCTTCTTCTTCTTTTTCTCTTCTTCTGACTGTAGGATAGTGGAAAAGAAGTGAAAGATGGTTATGAAATGGAAAATAAATTTATGCCAAAGATTCTAAAGAGACACGTTCAATCAATGACATTTTAATTTTTATACATCTATACCTGTGTTTCTCAACACTAGCTGAGGAATTCTGGGATGAAGTCTGTTAAGTATGGTCGGTGGGTCCCATTGAAAGACGAGGCTCAAGTAGTGAACAACAGCTCTTTATTTAGCAAATAGATTCTAAGGCGAGAACCCTAGCCGTGGCAGCTTTTTTTATAGAGCTGGCCGCGGCTAGGCAGCCTATGACAGACTTTTGAGCTTGCCGCGCTTGGTTTTACCCAATCGCGGCAATCCCCATACGAACCAATCACAAGTGCTTTAGAATGTCCAATCACGGCCCGGCTCTTCTGGACCAATAGGAATGCAGGTCTTCAAGCCTGCTAGTAAGGAACACAGTCCATACATCTTAAATGGCTGAGTTGAGAAACAGTGCTCTATACTAGAATAGCTGAGTTATCTTGGCCTGTGGGTCACAGATAGCATTCCTGGTGCCTTTTTAGATGTCCCCAGCAGCAGCATTTTGTGTGTCCTTAATTTTCCTTTTGTAAAATAGGAGAATTATACTGTAGGAGTTGCGGTGGCACGGTGGTTAGAATGCAGTACTGCAGGCTACTTCAGCTGACTGTCTGCAATTTGCCAGTTTGAATCTCACCAGGCTCAAGATTGACTCAGCCTTCCATCTTTCCAAGGTGGGTAAAATGAGGACCCAGATTGTTGGGGGCAATGTGCTGACTCTGTGAACCTCTTAGAGAGGGCAGTAAAGCACTGTGAAGCAATATATAAGTCTTAGTGCTATTGCCAAGTGCTATTGCTAGCTGTAATTCACCCAACACATGCATTTTATGGAAGTTCTGTAGCTTCCTCCAAACAGAAATTACAGCTTCTCTGGCTTCAGGGTGCTAGAATATGTTAAGAACTAACTTATTGTTTGAATGGATCAATGTATTCTGCAAATCCAGAAAACTGATTAATTGATTAACTAGGTTGGGCATTTTGTGCGACTCAGTCAATAAATTTGGGATGCACGTTTTCAGAACATGGATAAATGGTGAATGTACTGATTGAAAAGACCTGTATATGGGGAGAAGGGAACTATATTATGTAACTTTGAAGAGGAAAAAGGGCATTAAGTATGTCTGTAAAGAAGATTGGAAGTTGCTTTTTTAAGTATTTCTTTTTTTCTTTCTCAGTTTCTACTGTTTTTATCATTTTTACCTTTACCTTTTTCTTTCTTTTCAATTTGTTCATGTTCATCATGTAACTTTGCAAAAATATTTAATTAAATATATGCAAACCTACATATAAAAAATAATTTGGGTCATGGCAGCAGACACTGCAATAAATCAGTTTATTTTCTAACTGATTTATTGCAGTGCCTGCTGCCATGGGCCCAAAATCATTTTTATATTTGTGTTTGTTTCTATATGTATCTATATCTCCCCAACATTTTTTCACTACACTAAAACTACAATTTATGATATAGGCTGAGAATTCTATGTCTCTCCGTGTGTTTGTATACATCTTTGTGTGTGCGTTTGTATGTGTGTGTGTATTTGCAGTGCACAATAACTCTCAATTTGAGATCTCCCTCTCCCTCCCTCTCTTCCTCTCCCTCCCTCTCCCTCTCCCTCTCTTCCTACCCCCCCCCCCATATATGTGTGTGTAAGAGCAAAGGACCCTGGGCAACAACTTTTCCCAAATCTTCAGGAAGAGCAGTGAGTATCTATCAGTCTCAAATATATTTACAGGTCTATTCTCATTATACATAGGCCTTCCAAGAAGGGAGCAACTTCAGCTTACTCCCTGAATTTAAGAAGATAAATGTTGCTATAAATTGTTTCCAGATGCCAGAGAAGGTATTTTAGTACAGCACATAGAAGCACAGCTGTCACTTACCACGTCCACCTTCACAACAGCATCAGAATTCTGTCATCAGAGAAAGGAATGGGGAAAAACAAGGGAGAGTTAATACAATGAAGGAGAGTTGTTGCTGTCTGCAGGACATGGGGTACAGCATCTTTGAGCAATGGAGGAAACCCAAGCACATATCTGATACCAAAAAAAAAAAGGAAGGTAACACACAGGCCAAATCAATGGAAGGAATGTTACAGATGGATGAAGAAACTTAGGGTACTGTCCTGTCCAGATTTTTTTGCTAGGTCTCTAATTCATACATGCAGAATAGCTAATGACAAACTGCTTTTATTTTATTTTATTTTGCTTTATGTAGGATCATCAATTCACAAATCAGTTATAGAGCATATAGGCAAACACTGGACCACAGATTCTCTGAAAGTCTCTACCACTTGTTCTTCAGGTCTCTTGGATAGTCTTCTCTATCGGATGCCCTCCATATGTTTTGGAACAGCAGCCGTTCTTCTTACAGTGACTAGGAATTATCTGAGTTCTGGCTTCAACACATCTGCCGTGTTGAAAGGTATCCTGCCACTCTCCCACCCTCTATTTTTCTTGTCATCCAGCTGTTTACCATCCACTGAGCAAAACATGCCAAACTCAAAAAAAACCAAAAAAAAAAAACAAAAACGCTGTCAGGAGGACACTCATTTTGAAAGTATGTACTGTTTCAATGCTTGCCAAAATGTTCGATTTGAAATGCATGAAGCAAGCACTCTTCCCAGTATGACTTTGGAGAAGGCTCCCCATGGGGTAAGATAGAAACCAAAGGTCATTCTGGGGAATAGGAAGATGTGTATTGCACAAAAGTCTTGCAAGGGGATTTAATGTTCATGAAAGTGAAAAAGAAAAAAAAAAGTTCCTCTGGTAAAGGAAATCATAAACTAGGAAAGCATGTGGAGATGATCTATATGTCATACTAAATATGTCAGGACTAACAGAATACACACCCTTCCCTAAATACCAGAATAAAATGGGCTTGTCAATGTTTTTCCCCCTCCCCATTTCATGCACTACATTCATTTAAAAAAAATATGAGCCTCTTTACTGACAACTGGTAACCAGGAAGATCAGGCATTTCCAAGGATGATAAACGTTCCTTAAATATTATTCATGCCCACATAACACTTTGATTTAAAAAAAAAAAACCTTTTGAGAAACCAAAGTGTCATAAATCAATGAAGGGGAAGAAGCCCAACTTTTTTGGCCCAATAGATACATTTATCATTTTGAGAACATATTGTGGGAAGCTTGCAAAGAGGCTGCTGAGACAATGGGCTTATCCAACCAGCACTCCCAAATTAGGATGCTCAATCATTTTTGCTGGTCCTGTTTTTTATTTCTTTGCTAGCTAGGTAGACTCTTCCAAACAATGTTCCATACACAGCAATCCATTATGCATTTAGTCCTATAGATTTCGCCGGGCTAGGAAGCTCCTTTGATGGCTGGCACATCAGTTACTCCTTGCTGAGAAAGCCAATGGTTTTGAGTCCCTGACTTGAATAGCAAAAAGGAGAAAAACTCAGAGAGGAAATCATTTGCTCCCATCAGTTAAAAAGAATTTGCTATGCTTTAAGGCACATTCAGAACAATCTACATTATTTCAGACAGAGTGGTGCAGGAATTGGGTCTCAAAGTTTCATTGACCACTATAATTAAACTGCTTTTTGTCTTGTGGATTAGACCTTGTCCGCCTTTCTTCAATTAATCTTGAGATAGATTAATGAGATTGTACAAAAGGAATCTTCTGAAGGCTTTACCTGTCTTTCCAGATTTCTTCTTGGAAATGGAGCTTCCCACACTTTAACCCAGTTCCTAGACATGATTATGCATTTGTATTCTGCCCTTTAACTGAATGCAACAAACCAACAAGTTTTTTATTCATATATTCCTCTGACTAGACTCTATGCAGCATGGAAGCTTTAAGCCTCCACTTTTGCCTCATTTTCAGCTGCCAGGTAGACAAGACTACCTGGAGTCTCCACAAATCCTTTTATTCCCTGCACTGCTTTTACAGAATTATAGAATAACAGAGTTGGAAGGGACCCTAGAAACCTTCTAGGCCAAACCCCTGCCCAAGCAGGAAACCCTATACCATTTCAGAGAAATGCCTGTCCAAACTCTTCTTGAAAAGCTCCAGTGATGGAGCATCTACAACTTCTGGAGGCAAGCCATTCCATTGACAGTTCTAATGTCAGGAAATTTCTGCTTAGTTCTAGGTTGGATCTCTCTTTATTAAACTTCCATCCATTATTTTTTGTCTTGCTGTCAGGTGTTTTGAAGAATAGGTTGACTCCCTCTTCTTTGAGGCAGTCCCTTAAATATTGGAACACTGCTATCATGTCATCCTTAGTCTTCTTTCCATTAATGTAGATATACTCCATTCCTGCAACCATTCTTTGTATGTTGAGTCTCCAGTCCTCTAAACATCTTTGTTGATCTTTTTTACACTCTTTCAAGAGCACATATTTTTTCTATCGTGGCAACCAAAACTGGATGCAGTTTTCCTAGTGTGGTCTTACCAAAGCAGTTTAAAGAGGTACTAACTCTTCACATGGTCTTGATACTATCCTTCTGTTGATGCGTTGATATATTTGGAAACTGATTGCTAATTTTTCCAACTAAGATTATGAATATTAATTATATATTTGCTTTTGTGATTCATATTAGAATAAAAACATACATACAATATAACTTGTACAAGTATGTACAATCCCGAATTGTACGTACTAAATTTAAATGGTTTTTTTTTAATTAAACATATTTTAAGTGGATTTGGAACATTTTATGTGTCATTACTGGACCTCAATTCATCAGAATACACCTTTTGGTCTGTGATGGATATACAGTATATTTGGAGACATTCTTGAGTCATGTTTCTGGAGAACATCTGGTAACAGTTCTGAGTTCAAAATAGCGGGTTCAAGTGTTCAAAGCTCTAAATAAAAACCTTTGTGTTTTGAAATTTGGGCTGAACATTTTGTTCCATGTTGCTTTGAGTGTTGTAATGTTCCCTGATTGAACTGTGTTTTTTAATTAACCCCCCACTTCCCAATAAGTGAAGGGTTGAGTGAAGTGCAGATGAGGAGATGCGGTTAAGTACATGCACAGAAATATCCCTTCGACATTAAAAAAAAAGAAGAAGAAGACAACCAATGCTTTCTTGGAAGTTAAATTTACTGCTATTTCTAAAATCGTTGCTATGAGGAGAGGTACTTTGGTTTCTTTCTCCGATATCCTATCATATGGAAAGTGTGCTCTGTGCATTTGAGTATGAGACAGAACTCTTATTTTTCATTTTTTTTTCCCAACTGTCACATGCAAAAAACGTCATGCTTCATTGAGTTTTGGGTCAGATTATCAAATATAGAAAATGCACATGGCATATTCTAATGGGGGGGATGAACCATTCACAGGTAGGAAACGGAGAACTTGAAAAGGAACAGGTTAAAACCTCTGTTACCTAACAGTTTTTCTTAAGAACTTAATTTTTTTCCATTAAAAAATAGGCAAGGAAAACTTAAGGATCATTTAAGGATGTGTGTGTGTGTGTGTGTGTGTGTGTGTGTGTGTGTGTAGTGGGAGAGGCAGACCTCAATCATGTATTATTTCCCAGGAATTCTAAGTATATAGTGTGCCATCCATGTGAAAGAAAAGGTGTGGTTTGTATGCACTATCTTCACCCATTTCTGTAACTCCCCCAAGACTTCATAAGGGCCAGAGTTGCTCTCCATCTCAAAAAGGTACCCTTACTGAAGAGTACAAGCAAACAACTGATGAATTAATATAGCAACAAATCAGAGGAACACTCATGAGATCACCACTTTTGGGACTCATAGCAGAGACCGTAATGCAGCTACAACCAAAAGAATGGATCCAGTATGCAGACAACACCCTCATAACGAAAAGGAACAACTATAGAAGACGCATGAAAAGATCAACAACATTTTCAAGGGAATAAAATTCACAAGGGAAGAAGAAAACCATCTACTACCCTTCCCTTTCTGGATATTCTTATCAGCAGAGGAAATGATGGCCAATTAGAAATGTGAATCTATTGAAAAACGATCCACACTAATTAGGCACTCCATTACCAAAATAACAATCCAGCTTTCCATTACAGAGCTGGAGAAGACATTATTCAGATAAGTACAAAGACATCCCAGTAACCCAGAATTGCTTGACTCTCAAACCACTATATTACAACCAATACAAGCAACAAAAAGGATAACCCTACACATGTCAAAACCATCTCAGAAATTATCAACAGATTATTATACCCACAAGGCATCACCACAGCACACAAATCACTGAGGCACACAAATCAACTAAAGCCTCTAAATCATTTTAAGTAAACCAAAAGACCAGACCCAGTAGCCCAAGAAGAAAAATACAGAAATGACCTAGAACAGAGCTCTCCAAACTCGGCAACTTTAAGACTTGCAGCATGGCTGGCTGAGAAATTCTGGGTGTTGAAGTCTATAAGTCTTGAGACCCCTGATCTACAACGTACAGTGTAAGGACTGTAACAGCCAATGATGGGCTCCTGCAGGTTTGGACCGGTTCTAGCGAATGGATAGTTCCTGCAATCAGCTGGCCCCGCCCCCCTGCCCCCGCCCTATTCTGCCCTATATTTCCACGTTTTTCAGCTCAGCTGATTCATGCAGCACGGGATTGCCGTGCCTCAGCTGTTTTACTCACCGGTGGTAAGCTTTAGGGCAGGGGTGTCCAACCTTGGCAACTTTAAGAGTTGTGGACTTCAACTCCCAGAATTCCTCAGCCAGCAA